CGATTTTTTATCAAATTTTTATCTCCTTACTATTATTTTAAATTTTATTTTCGATTTTTATCAGATTTTTATCTCCTAAATATTAGTTTTTGATTTTTTTATCAAATTTTTATCTCCTAAATATTATTTTAAATATTATTATCGATTTTCATCAAATTCTCCTAGATATTATTTATAATAATCTGATTTTCAATTTTTACAGAAAAGGGTAAATAAATCTGATTTTCATCCCTAGCGGATTTTGTAACATCGTTTTACAGAATGTCCGCAACATTTGAATTTTATGTCTTCCCTACCTAAGGCTTCTTCTTTTGGTAAGCCGACTTTAGATTTTGTTTCTTATATTCTTCTTCATCCTATTGACTGTGTGGCAATTAGTTTACATTTTTTTCCATCATGGCTTATAGGTAATTTCATTTTGTTAAATTATGTGTTTCATTAATTTATACCAAAGTTTTCAAATTTTATGTATAACAATTATTTCATTTTATATGTTATTGGACATGTTATTGAAATGGATGATTTGAGAAAATTAACCAAAAATGGGCGGAGCCACAAGCTATTGGAAGTCGACCTTCAAGACTTATTGTTTGTATGCGATATTTAATTTATTGTTTCTTAATTTTCCAATTGTTAATTCTAGTGGCAAAACAGCCTTAAAATGAGGCAGTGGAGAAGGGCTTAGTTCCGATGCAAGATGTATAGATGGCTTTTTACGATGGTATGTTGTCGATAGTTTAGTTTTGATTATGTTAACTTAGTTATTAAATCTAATTACTTTTAAGCTCAACATGAAAGACATAATTGATGATTTTTTTCCTGGTTCAAATTTTCAATCTACTGGTATTAGCTGATTCAATTCATACGATACTTATTCAACAGTAAAGTTATGTCCTTTTTTTTTTGTGTAGTATACTTAATAATGTTCCAGTATAATAGAATTTTGATCATACGATACATCAAACGTTTGTTTATATTCTTACAACATCAAAACAATGTAATTTGTGTCCCGGTGCATCGCACGGGTACATACTAGGATATATATATATATATATATATATATATATACAGACGGCAGCTCATGCATCGGATTCACGATACACGGTACGTCAAGGCGAATACATGTGAAATAAAAAAATAAATTTAACTTTTATTTTTGATTCAGTTACTTTTTATTATCATATAAATAAAATTAATATTACGTAAAAAAAATGAGCTGGGGAGCTCGTCAGACTCGACTCGAGCTCGCTAAATTTGACTTAATTAGCTTCAGCTCGAACTCGATTTGCTTACACCTTATGTTGGTTTATCAAAATAATTGAGGAAATTAGCCCATCAAAGTCTAAATACACTTTGGGCCTAAAAACAATATAATTTGGGCCCTCATCGCTTTTTAGGCTTGTTAGAATTAAAGTTCTTTCCTTTTTTTTTTGTTTTTTTTTTTTGGACAAATATTATAATTCTAATTCTTATTGGTTTGAATTTCTATACTCATTCCTTTTCTGTTTTCTCTCTTTTAGAAATAAAAAATAAAAATCGAGCTGCAAAAATATATATAAATTCCGTAGCTCCACAAACAAAAAGGCAAACACCTCTAAAACCCTGGTAAAGCTAAAACCAAAGCCAAAAGCGAAGATGACTTCACATGAAACCGACGCAAGTATGGTTCCCGTCGCAGAGGGATCCACCGGTGCCGGACCTTCCACCGCCACCGATCTCACGACGCTGCCGCCGCCGCAGTCCGCCAAGAAGGGGAAGGTGTTCGAGATCAAAAAGTGGAACGCCGTCTCGCTCTGGGCTTGGGGTATATGACTTACATTGAATCTATTACGCGTTTATATTCGAATTGCTGATGCTCTGATTGTAATAAATAATAATTTCACGACATTGTAGCCCTAATTATTTGATTTGCAGATATCGTGGTGGATAATTGTGCGATTTGCAGGAACCACATCATGGATCTCTGTAAGTATTTTTTTATCTGGTTTCTAATTAATTTTTTTTTTTTGTTTCAGTTCGATCTGTTTGATTAATTGTTTCTTAATGTTGAAATTAGGCATCGAGTGTCAGGCTAATCAAGCTAGTGCCACCAGCGAGGAATGCACTGTTGCTTGGGGTATGTTACTGAGCTGAATTCATAATTATTTTTTAATTTATTTATTTGTTTTAATTCAATTTTCTGTTATTTGATTAATTTTTATTTTAGTGTCTGACATTTTTATTCTTCTATTATTTAAGTAGTTCCAAAATCTCTATATTTTCCATTCATACTTTATCAGAATAACGTTACTTCGATTTTGAGTAGAATTCGTCGTCTTGTAGTAACTGGTTTGTATGTGTTAACCATGGAATCCGTGTCGTCTCTATGCTAAGATATTATTGGATTATCGGGTTGTCAATAGTTATCGTTAATACTTGTGTATTTTGAGATGCAGAGCTGAAGGCTAATCTCTTTAAGCAATTATATAGATATATAACCGAACTTGATTAATATAGCTAGTTTGTGGAACTATTTGTTTAGCTTTCGCAAGTCATTAATTTAATTTGGGTTTATTTTTCCTAATTTATTGTTATCTAGTTAGCAAGTTTTCCTTTTACTGAAAAGTAAATTTTAATTTCATATAAGATGGTGGAAGTTAGCTATTCTAAAGATTGAATCTCAATTATCAGAAGTGATTGCACTAATTTGCGATAAGTAGGTCAACGCCTAATGCTTGTCTCGTCTTTCCTCTTTTAGACTGATATTCACCTTTGGTTTGCTGCCTGTTTGTTCTGGATATAGCTCTTACAACTATTGATCAACAAAGCAGAAAATTGCAAAATTAAGGGTTCCCACAAAATTCATTGATATCGTCTGAAGGATCTGTATAATATAATCGTAACACTTTCTTCGTCACAAGATATCGTTACAGTTGCGCTAATGGCTTTTCTGGTTTAGTATACCACCGAACTATTTTGGTTTTGTGTAAGCAAGAAGCCTTTCTGTTATGTTTTTTGGTTGTTCTAGCAGTTTATTAATAAGTATCGATGAAACTACCTATAATATTATCCGAGAAATTGAAACTATTCTAGCTGTTTTACTGATTATTGTTATCACGGGTATCTTTTATAGCTGCAAAATACCTAAAAATTGGATGTTGTTTACAAGATTGTTACCCACTATTATCTTAGTAACATGGTCTAACGAGTAACAACACTATTTTCACGACGGAAAAAATGGCCTATTTTAGTAACTTGGCAGTTTATATCCTACCTTGTTCTATAGAAATTCTGGAAAGTATGTTGTTTTTTAATGTAAATTCGAGCAGTGCCTTGAGTGTATATATATGCCTTCTGCTATTTTCTCACTCTTGTGAACCTATTTTGTTGTCAATTTATTAGTTGCGATTGATTTCTCTTTCTTTGACCGAATTTTTCTCGTTTTTTAAAATTTTGATAGGAGTTTGCAACCATGCGTTCCACTTCCACTGTATTAGCAGGTGGCTTAAGACTCGTCAAGTTTGCCCTCTTGGTAAGTATATTCTGCTGTGGAGCAAAATTTTAAACAATCATACAATCATATGTATATATAAATAAATATATCTCACATATTGGCGATATTTTTTGCAGATAACAGCGAGTGGGAGTTTCAGAAGTACGGTCACTAGAGTCGTTGTTAGAGAATACACAAGGGGGGCAATTGTCAAGAAAATAGTTGGCCTATTTGTACAAATACTCTAATGCTTTCCCCTTTACCTATTGTTCCTATTGAGGCATTTTTTTTTGTTGCTGTTGCTAGTTATCTCTTCTGTTAATGCATCCCTACTAATTCTGAATTGTTGTGTTTATTTAGCGTGGTGTGTTTCATTATTTGATTTATCGCGTATGGTATTCAATCTTAATTCGAAGCAGAACGGGCTTGGAAATTGCTGCATACTTGATTAAAATCCTTTGAACAAAGCAAGAGTTTGAGAAAGTATTGCAATATTTACGAATGCTGCCATCTTCAACGTCAAACCTTCTTATGTAGTGCAACAAAAAAAAAATGGTAATACTAATAATCCCAAACAAAAATATATGATCGTCGCCTGAGAGATTCGAACTCTCGCGGGGAAACCCCATGTACTTAGCAGGCACACGCCTTAACCACTCGGCCAAAGCGACGATGAATGATAAAGAACTCCAAGACAAGTATATCAACGTGGTAATGCTTCATGTTGGAATGGATTAAGGTCATATGTGATGTCATGGTGAAATCATATGCCAGTTTCTTGTTTCATTCTATTAATGGAATTTGGAAACAGGAATCAGATATGGTTAGTATAATGCCCATTATCCTTGCTGGCACTCACATCTTTTGCAAACAATAATATAATTACAAGAAATGAGTTTATAACTCATCTTTTTCATAATATATCCCATTTAATCATTGCTTGGGACCATAATTATTTCATTGCGATACCTCCACATGTGAACTCTGCAACTAGTTGAGTTACATCAGTAATTTATTTCCTTTTGAATACAAAGGTTAAATATTGAAGTCCATGATTTCGTAATTTATAACTTAGCCAAACATGTTCTTATTAAGTTTGAGCATGCGAGCGATTAAACGAATCATTTGCGATGAGAAGATTCAGTAGTATCACCCGTCAATCCCAACAAAAGTATACTATTATTAATTGATCACACTCCTCTCTTGGTCTCGCATTTATTCTTGGCTCCAGGCTATTCGATATTAAAAAAAAAAAAAAAAAATTGAAAAAATCACGTTGTTTGATGATGAATTAAGGGGCAATCCGTTACATGTGTTTGTCATACACTAAAATTTGGTGCAAAAGCGTTCACCTCGGAAATATAAAACGTGGACTGCAATCCAAATAATGATATTCAAACCGCGTGGGTGGGGCTTGGAAATTAATAACTCAACAACCTAACAAAAAAAACAAAAAAACTAATCAAAGAGCAGAAATGCGGGCATGCGTATTTTCTGCCTCATTTTCTAATTAATTAATTATTTATTTATTTCTAAATTAGTTTTCTTCGCTGGAATGGCGCCTCCATCTGCGCTTCTGTCATTATTAAGTTTTTATTTTAGTGTAATTAATAGTAATTAATTACATCCGCAGTTCAAATATTATCCAACAAATATGTATTTATGATTTTATGTACTAAATCAATAGTCTAAGATCACAGGATTAATTAATTATCAAATTAAAAAACCCAACACGTACCTTCAATAAATATAGCCGTTGCGGCTGATAGTGATGCTTAGTTAACTTCGTACTACACTAATTAAATGTGCCATAAATACCCTCGATGGTGATATTTTTCAACAACCCATGCCATTGTGTTATATTTTTCGTGTTTGCGGTTTAATTTATAATAACTGTTTGTGTTATATTTTTCGTTTGATAATTTATTAAGTTTATTTTAATGGAAATTTTCACTTTCAGGAAAAAAAAAACTTAATTCTTGCATAATAGTATGCAAATCGTACGAGAAATGTAAATCACACTACGCTAATCAAGTGTGACAACCTCCACTTAGCAATCGTTGGCAAGCAATTTTGAACGTTAATTGACATAAGTTTACTTGCTCCAACCGTGAGACCATCACTTGCGATAAATTTATTTTATTTGTTTTAGTTGGATTTGTTCCTTCTGTATTTTAACTTGCAAATTCAGATTAAACATCAATAAACACGTGTCCTATCAAATTCGCATAATTGCATCTTACCTAAAATTCAAATTTTACCTATCTAATTTATTTTTTAAATTGCCAAACCTGACAAAATTTAGCAAAGTATGAACAAAATGAATTTTCCAGAAAGAGGAATGTTTTATTACCAAACTCTGACATCCCACTACTTCAAAATTAAACCCATCATCTTAATAAAATACAAATCGATTATAGGTAATAATTAAAAAATAAATAAAACTCAAATGTAATAACTAAATAATCCCACTAGGCACGAAAAAGGTGAAAAAAACGGGTATCAGTTGGCAGTGGCATTCTCGTAATAAAATCAAATCCGGGGCCTTTTAATTAGTAAATACCCTTTTATAAACCCGACAACTGCAACTCCACTTCTATTCTATCCCACTGACAGTCTCACCGGACTGTACCGTACCGTCTTCCCCACTGCATCAATTTCACCAACATATAAACCCTAATCTTCTGCAACAATGGGGTTGGCCTCTGTTTTCTGTGTCTGCGCAATTGCCGTTGTTCTTCAATTATGTTTATTTTCAGTTTCCGCCAAAAAAACTTACATCGTGCACATGAAGCACCGCCACAAGCCCGCAATCTACGCCACCCACGGCGAATGGTACTCCGACCACTTCCAATCTCTCACCGCCGCCGATCCAGATTCCCTATTGTACACCTACGACGCCGCGTACCATGGATTCGCCGCCGCGATGTCGCCGGAGGAGGCCGAGTCGCTCCGCCAGTCCGACTCCGTCCTCGGAGTCTACGAGGACGCCGTCTACAACCTCCACACCACCCGCACGCCGGAGTTTCTGGGGCTTGATTCGGAGCTCGGCCCGTGGGTCGGCCACAGCCTGCAGGAACTCAACCAGGCGTCTCAGGACGTGATAATCGGGGTTTTGGACACCGGTGTTTGGCCGGAGTCAAAGTCCTTTAGCGATTCGAACATGGCTGATATTCCGGCGCGGTGGCGCGGCGAGTGTCAGGCGGCCGATGATTTCAACCCTAAGATCCACTGCAATAAGAAGTTGATCGGTGCCCGGTTTTTCTCCAAAGGATACAACACCATGGCGTCGGGCGGCGGTTCGAAGGAGTCCCAATCCCCCCGCGACGGCGACGGACACGGCACCCACACGGCCAGCACCGCCGCGGGGTTCCAGGTGGAGAACGCCTCCCTGTTGGGGTACGCCGCCGGGAACGCCAGAGGAATGGCGACTCACGCCCGATTAGCTACTTACCGGGTCTGCTGGAAAACCGGGTGCCTCGGCTCCGACATACTCGCCGCCATGGACCGCGCGATACTCGACGGAGTGGACGTACTGTCTCTCTCCCTCGGCGGCGGATCCGCGCCGTACGCTCGCGACACCATCGCCGTCGGAGCTTTCGCGGCGATGGAGAAGGGGATCTTCGTGTCGTGCTCAGCCGGAAATAGTGGGCCCACCAGAGCTTCACTGGCGAATGTTGCCCCGTGGATAATGACTGTCGGCGCCGGCACATTGGACAGAGATTTCCCTGCTTTTGCTGCTCTGGGGAACGGCCTGAAATACACCGGCGTATCTTTATACAGTGGAGAAGGAATGGGGAGCAAGTTGGTGGAGCTAGTTTACAACAACAATGGCGGCAATACTTCGGGCAATCTCTGCTTAGCCGGTTCGCTCGACCCGGCCGCTGTGCGTGGAAAAGTTGTTCTCTGCGACAGAGGGATAAGTGCGAGGGTGGAGAAGGGTTCGGTGGTGAAGGAGGCCGGTGGGGTGGGGATGATTCTGGCGAACACCGCCGCGAGCGGGGAGGAGTTGGTGGCGGACAGCCACCTGTTGCCGGCGGTGGCTGTGGGGAGGAAGGTGGGGGACTTGATAAGGCAGTACGTGAAGACGGGGAAGAATCCGACGGCTGGTTTGAGCTTCGGAGGGACGGTGGTGAACGTGAAGCCGTCGCCGGTGGTGGCGGCGTTCAGCTCGAGGGGGCCGAATATGGTGACGCCGCAGATTCTGAAGCCTGACGTAATTGGACCGGGGGTCAATATACTGGCAGCATGGCCGCAGGGTGTGGGCCCCACCGGCCTTGACAAGGACGCCCGTAAGACACAGTTCAACATCATGTCTGGTAATTAAACCTCATTATCTCTAATTATTATTATTATTTAATTATTGATTATATTGAATTAATAATTATCGATCAAAAAAAGAATTAATAATTAATAATATTTATTTTTATTTTTATTTTTATTTCACTTTATTAATTTATTTATTTGATTGACCTGAATTCACACTAAGAAACGGATGATGAATTATTTTGTTCAAAGAAAGCTAAAAGCATAGGCCCCTCCTAATTGAACTACTTTTATAAGTTGGGCATTTTTAAATAGTTGCCTTTTTTTTCTCGTTATATTGTATGATGCCTTAATGATATTGGTGCACCAACAAATTACGGCTTATAATTAGATGCTACACCTAATTATTTACATCAGATGCGTGTTAATTGCATTGTAGATCTGAGCATATGTGTATGTGTCTTCGTAGATGAATATTGAGACTCGTCTACGATTAATTAATAATCACTTTGCATAAATAGCTATACATAACATCTAACTCCCGGTCTACACTGAGGCGTGATTTTCGGTTAGAATTATAAGATTTATTTGAATGTGGATAGGATCCTACTAAAAAGTGTCACACCACAAATATACAAAAAAAAAAAAAAAAAACCATACCCTCAATTAGTGGGGGCATATATGCAGAATGAGCTGTAAAAGGTACTACTCCTAACAGTCCTAACGAAAATGGTGGTGGCTTTTCAAGAAAGCGACTAATGTTTTTGTTGGTCAATTTCTAACAATAGATACTAAATAAAAACCACATTTTTGTTTTTTTGTCTAATTTTATTTTGTAATTATATATTTTGTTTAATAAGTAGGTAATTCGGTTTTAACAAATTATGTACTTGCAGGCACATCAATGTCATGCCCGCACATAAGCGGCCTAGCCGCTCTTTTGAAAGCGGCCCATCCCGATTGGAGCCCGAGCGCGATCAAATCGGCGCTCATGACCACCGCATACACCGTCGACAATGCCAACTCGCCTCTCCGAGACGCGGCCGATTACTCCCTCTCCACCCCGTGGGCCCACGGTGCGGGCCACGTGGACCCCCACAAAGCCCTCTCCCCCGGGCTCGTGTACGACGCCACGCCGGACGATTACGTCTCGTTCCTATGCTCGTTGGACTACACCGACGATGCGGTGCAGTTGATCGCCAGGCGCCCTAACGCCACTTGCTCTTCTTCTAGAAGGTTCCGGGACCCCGGCCAGCTCAACTACCCCTCGTTCTCCGTGGTGTTTGGAGGAGGGAAGAAGAACAGTAGGGTTGTGCGGTACACGAGGGAGCTGACTAATGTGGGACCCGCGGGGTCCGCTTACGTGGCGGAGCTTGAGGTGCCTCCGACTGTGGGGGCAACCGTGAAGCCGTCGAAGCTCGTTTTTGGCAATGTTGGTGAGAAGTTGAGATATACTGTTACTTTCGTTTCTAAAAAAGATGTGGACTATTCGTTGACAAGTGGGTTCGGGTCGATTACTTGGAAGAACGCGCAACATCAAGTGCGGAGCCCGGTCTCATTCTCGTGGACCCTAAGGCTATAATTTATATGGTAGTTCTCTTTTGTTTAATGGTGAATTTAACTGGATTTTCTAGGTTTTGAACTAAGTGGTGAAGGCCCCTTTCTTCTATATGGTATTTCGTAATTTATATTTATTAATAATTTAATATACAATATGAAGAACTTACCATATATGTTCAAAGGGATAATTGTTGACCCGTTGACTTTCAATCCCCTCCCACATGGTTTTAAATTAGGAAACAAATTAATCAGAACTATAGAACTTTCCTTTTTATTTATAAAAAACAGAACGAGTACTACAATTACAGATAATTTTAATGATTCAAGAAAGAACAACAAATAAAACCCTAAACTAATAAAAATCGAGGTCTAACGGCTAAGCATACGAGTGGTGTGATTGGACGAAAAACCAGCAAGCATAATGCAAAAGCAATCTGGTACGAAACCACGGCATCTATGGCAGCATATTCTATCTGATTGCAATCGAGCTCCTTTGCATCCCACTTACTCAGAGTTATCTGCAATGGTTTCTCCATGTTTTTTCCAAGAACCGCGTACGCCATCTTTTTCAGCCCCATATATTTGTACTCTCCGTTTCCATTACGACCGTGGATCATATCCAATCTTCCGTTGATCATCGCCAATCGTCCGTCTCCATTATCACGACCGTTGATCATAGCCAATCTAGCGAGATCGTTCAGGTCCGTTGTCCTTCCCACGCGCAAGCCATGGTGACTGTACAATTTGTCCACGTCATCTTTGATTCCGACCCCACAAAACGTGTGACGAGGATCGATCAAGAAGGCGTGGAGCAGCGGCGGAATAAAATCGGCGTGTAGAATTTGGAAGACGAGGCATCGGTTGCCAACACATAGTTGAAGTATGGCTATTGGATGGTCTTCGCATGGAGACATATTTGGCAGCCACTCCGTATCGAGGCCGACTAAAAGATTCTTCGGAAAATCGTTGTGGATGTTGTATATAGAACATATCCACTCATGTACTCGTTCCGCTTCTTTTGCTACCGTTACGTATATGTTTTCGTTGTAAAAAGGGACCGAGAAAAGACCGTTTGGCTGAGCTTGAATAGTTGTCATGGCCATAGGAGAGAAATTGATCAATACAGAAATTGAAGTTGGAAGACAGAATTATTCAGTTCAAGTATATATAGAGATGGGGCAGAGGATTCAAAAGGTAACATTGTTCCAATCTGGAATAATATAAGGAAAGTTTGTCAAGTATAATTTTAGATAAAAAAGGAAATATTACCTAATACAAATTATTACCAAATTAAGACCCAAATTAATATTTTATTAACAATGAATTTATTACGTATTCAAAAATTTATATTTATCAATTGTTTCAGATATTTAATCAATTTTTAAATTTTTTATTAAAAGATTTATTACGTAATGTACTCATCATAATAATTAAGATAATTTTGTCAACAAAACTATAACTGGGCCTTCTATATCCAAGGCCCAAAACTACTACAAAATTATTTAATTACTAAAATACCATTAATTATAAAATATTTTTTTCAACTAAATAAAATTAAATTAAAAAAAAAATTCACCAAAAATATGGATTATTCGATACTTCTTTGTTAGAGTGAAGTTTCCTCGTAAAAAATTGACAGACGAGTGGGGACCTGAAATTCTATGTATCGATCGGCGGCGAGACGGCTGCTGCCGGCGTTATGCCGGCGAACTGTTCACTTTCGAAGGCAGGTTTCTCCAGTCGGTTTCTCCGCCCCAACCATACCTCCGGCGGCGTTTTTTGTGACTGCTGCTTCCGAAAACGCTCGAAATCACAAACCTAATAGCTTCGAATCCGCCAATCATCCATCATCATCATCGTTAGGTGAAGGTCGGAACCCTAGATTCACAGGCGGTGCCAAAGCTCACTGGCAGGAAGAGCAGGCTAGTGTTCTTCAGGCGTCCCTCCGCCACGTGGTCCGTTCTCGTCACCAAATATTCAGTTTTCCTTTAATTTTATCTGTTGTTTGTTGCGTAATTGAATTCGTTTGTATTTCACATGTGTGAATTCTTTACGTTAGAAGGTGATTATATGGCTTTGTGGATTTAGAATTTTCGGATTCGATTGGGGAAAAATTATTTCTAATTAGATGGACCAATTTGCGACCTCCTTATTAATTTTCCACCAACACATTCTAAATGCATTGTGATTTTGTTTGATTAATTGGCTTACGGTGATTTGATAATTCGTTGTATACGATTTCGATATTTGCGTGGTCAAATTACAGAGGAAGTGAATTACCACTTGGTTTGATGGTTTGTGGAATTTCAATTGGACAGATTAGATTAGGGTGGAGTGATGCTGCCATGATTGCTGGAGCAAAGGAGGTTGGTATTTCTCCTTCCATTGTAGGATCTTTTCCTCGGAAAGAAGCTGAACTGGTAGAGGTATAATTTTCATGTACGCACTTCTTATTGCTCTGTATATATGCTAACAAGAACATAAAAAAATTATCCGAGAATGTTTAGACTACTACATTGTTTTACATTACCAATTAAGCTTAGATATTTAACACTTTTTAGCCTCCGCGAAATCAAATTAGCTAGTTGGTAAAAGAATGAAAATCACAAGGTTCCCTGTATTGATTCTTTTATTTGGAAAATAAAGAGAAGACTATCTCGAATGTTATATCTGCAAGGAAAACAAATGTAGAACGATGTTTTTGGCTGTAAGTAATACTGTAATATGGCTACTCAAGTCGACTAGGAAGAAGAAAAATATCACTGCATTGTATTATGTTTTGGCTACATCCGATTGGGGTCTCGATTTATTTTATGTGATGTGAAGGGGTGGTTAGATTTACTCTCTTTTCATATATGTGTGTGTGTGTGTGTGTGTGTGTGTGTGTGTGTGTGTGTGTGTGTGTGTATATAACAAAGCAAATTCTGCTATTTCTGGTGTTCTCCCTGGTTTCCGTGAATATCTTTTCCTTGGATGCTTTTTTGCCATTAATTTGTCGTATATGGAAGCTTTTGTTTAGCATAATATAGCTAATATACGGCACTTGTGACTAATATAATGATCTTTCACCCAAGTCCTTGAGAAGGACGCCTGTAAGACACAGTTCAACATCATGTCTGGTAATCCTCATTATCTCTAATTATTATTTTTTTAATGTTTGATTATATTGAATTAATAATTAATAATTTTTATTTATAATTCACTTTATTAATTGTTTATTTGACTGACCTAAATTCACACTAAAAATGGATGATGAATTATTTTGTTCAAAGAAAGCTAAAAGCAAGGCCCCTCCTTGAACTACTTTTATAAGTTGGGCATGTTCGAAAAGTTGCCTTTTTCTCATTATGTTGTATCATGCCTTGGATATTGGTGCAGCAACAAATTACGGATTATAATTAGATTCTACACCTGATTAGTTACGTCAGATGCGTGTTAATTGTAGATCTGCGTATAATCACACACTCCTATGTGTATGTGTTTCATGGACGATTATTTTGGCCCATCTACTGTTAATACTCACCACGTGTAAATAATCATATGTTACATCTAACTGCCTGTCCGTGTACACCTAGCTATCTATATTTCTTGCGTGATTTTCGGTTTGAATTATGAGATTTATTTGAATGTGGATAGGATCCTACTAAAAAGTGTCACACCACAAATATACAAAAAAAAAAAAAAAAAACCATACCCTCAATTAGTGGGGGCATATATGCAGAATGAGCTGTAAAAGGTACTACTCCCAACAGTTCTAACGAAAATGGTGGTGACTTTTCAAGAAAGCTACTAATGGTTTTGTTGGTCAATTTCTAACAATAGATACTAAATAAAAGCCACAGTTTTGTTTGCTTTGTCTAATTTTATTTTGTAATTATATACTTTGCTTTATAGTACTAATTCGGTTTTTAACAAATTATGTACTTGCAGGCACATCAATGTCATGCCCGCACATAAGCGGGCTAGCCGCTCTTTTGAAAGCAGCCCATCCCGATTGGAGCCCGAGCGCGATCAAATCCGCTCTCATGACCACCGCATACACCGTCGACAACGCCAACTCGCCTCTCCGAGACGCGGCCGATTACTCCCTCTCCACCCCGTGGGCCCACGGTGCGGGCCACGTGGACCCCCACAAGGCCCTCTCCCCCGGGCTCGTGTACGACGCCACGCCGGACGACTACGTCTCGTTCCTATGCTCGTTGGACTACACCGACGATGCGGTGCAATTGATTGCTAGGCGCCCGAACGCCACTTGCTCTTCCTCTAGGAGGTTCCGGGACCCAGGCCAGCTCAACTACCCCTCGTTCTCCGTCGTGTTTGGAGGAGGGAAGAAGAACAGTAGGGTTGTGCGGTACACTAGGGAGCTGACTAATGTGGGACCCGCGGGGTCCGCTTACGTGGCGGAGATCGAGGCGCCCCCGACCGTGGTGGCAACCGTGAAGCCGTCAAAGCTCGTTTTTGGCAATGTTGGGGATAAGTTGAGATATACGGTTACTTTCGTTTCTAAGAAAGATGTGGACTATTCGTTGACAAGTGGGTTTGGGTCGATCACTTGGAAGAACGCGCAACATCAAGTGCGGAGCCCGGTCTCATTCTCGTGGACCCTACGGCTATAATTTATATGGTAGTACTCTTTTGTTTAATGGTGATTCAATTTAACTGGATTTTCTAGGTTTTGAACTAAGTGATGAAGGCCCTTCTTCTATATATGGTATTTCCTAATTTATTTTTATTAATATACAATATGAAAACTTACCATATATGTTCAAAGGGATAATTGTTGACCCGTTGACTTTCAATCCCCTCCCGCACTCCTTTGTAGATTTAAATTAGGAAACATATTAATAAGAACTACAGAACTTTCCTTTTTATTTATAAAAAAACAGAACGACTACTACAACTACAGATAATTTTAATGATTCAACAAAGAACAACAAGTAAAACCCTAAACTGATAAAAATCGACGTCCAACAACGGCTACGCATACTAGTGGCGTGATTGGACGAAAAATCAGCAAGCATAATGCGAACGCAATCTGGTACGAAACCACGGCATCTATGGCAGCATACTCTATCTGATTGCAATCGAGCTCCTTTGCATCCCACTTGCTCAAAGTTATCTGCAATGGCTTCTCCATGTTCTTGCCAAGAACTACGTACGCCATCTTTTTCAGCCCCATGTATTTGTACTCTCCGTTCCCATTACGACCGTGGATCATATCCAATCTTCGGTTGATCATCGCCAATCGTCCGTCTTCATTATCACGACCGTTGGTCATAGCCAATCTAGCGAGATCGTTCAGGTCCGATGTTCTTCCTACACGCAAGCCATGATGACTGTACAATTTGTCCACATCATCTTTGATTCCGACCCCACAAAACGTGTGACGAGGATCGATCAAGAAGGCGTGGAGCAACGGCGGGATAAAGTCGGCATGGAGAATTTGGAAGACGAGGCATCGGTTGCCAACACAGAGTTGGAGTATGGCTATAGGATGATCTTCGCGTGGGGACATATTTGGCAGCCACTCCGTGTCGAGGCCGACTAAAAGATTCTTCGGAAAATCGTTGTGGATGTTGTATATAGAGCATATCCATTCGTGCACTCGTTCCGCTTCTTTTGTTACCGTTACGTATATGTTTTCGTTGTAAAAAGGGACCGAGAAAAGACCGTTTGGCTGAGCTCGAATAGTTGTCATGGCCATAGGAGAGAAATTGATCAATACAGAAATTGAAGTTGGAAGACAGAATTATTCAGTTCAAGTATATATAGAGATGGGGCAGAGGATTCAAAAGGTAACATTGTTCTAATCTGGAATAATATAAGGAAAGTTTGTCCAAGTATAATTTCAGATAAAAAAGGAAATATTACCTTATACAAATTATTACCAAATAAAAACCCAACTTAATATTTTATTAACAATGAATTTATTCCGTATTCTGGAATAATATAAGGAAAGTTTGTCAAATATAATTTCAGATAAAAAAGGAAATATCACCTAATACAAATTATTACCAAATAAAAACCCATACTAATATTTAATTAACAACGAATTTATTACGTATTAAACAAGAAAAAAATTATCAATTGTTTCAGATATTTAATCAATTTTTAAATTATTTATAAAACGATTTATTACATAAATGTACTCATCATAATTTTGTCAACAAAACTATAACTGGGCCTTCTATCTCCAAGGCCCAAAACTACTACAAAAATATTTAATTACTAAAATACCATTAATTATAAAATATTTTTTTCAACTAAATAAAAATTAAATTAAAAAACAAAAATCACCAAAAGTATGGATTATTCGATTAGAGTGAACTTTCCTTGTAAAAAAATTGAGAACCGACTAGCCGGCGATTGTAATATTGAGTTAATTATCCATGTATCGATCGGCGGCGAGACGACTGCTGCCGGCGTTATGCCGTCGAACCGGTCACTTACGAAGCCAAGCTTCTCCAGTCGGTTGCTCCGCCCCAATCATACCTCCGGCGGCGTTTTTTGTGACTGCTGCTTCCGAAAACGCTCGAAATCACAAACCTAATAGCTTCGAATCCGCCAATCATCCATCATCATCATCAACATCGTTAGGTGAAGGTCGGAACCCTAGATTCACAGGCGGTGCCAAAACTCACTGGCAGGAAGAGCAGGCTAGTGTTCTTCAGGCGTCCCTCCGCCACGTGGTTCGTTCTCGTCACCAAATATTCAGTTTTCCTTTAATTTTTATGTGTTTATTGCGTAATTGAATTCGTTTGTATTTCACATGTGTTAATTCTTAACGTAGTAAGGTGATTATTGGCTCTGTGGATTTTGAAATTTCGGATTCGATTGGGGAAAAAACTATTTCTAATCAGATGGACCAATTTTAGGTCAATTTGCGACCTCCTTGTTTATTTTCCACCAACGCATTCTAAATGCATTGTGATTTTGTTTGATTAATTGGCTTATGGTGATTTGATAAATCGCTGTATGCGATTTCGATATTTGCGAGGTCAAATTACAGAGGAAGTGAATTACCACTTGATTGAATGGTTTGTGGAATTTCAATTGGACAGATTAGATTAGGGTGGAGTGATGCTGCCATGATTGCTGGAGCAAAGGAGGTTGGTGTTTCTCCTTCCATTGTAGGATCTTTTCCTCGGAAAGAAGCTGAATTGGTAGAGGTATAATTTTCATCTACGCACTTTTTATTGCTTTATATATAAGCCGACAAGAACATAAAAAAAATATCCAAGAATGTTTAGACCACTACTTTGTTTTGCATTACCAATTCAGCTTAGTTATTTAACACTTTTTAGCCTTCACGAAATCAAATTAGCTAGTTGGTAAAAGAATGAAAATCACAAGGTTCTCTGTATTGATTCTTTTCCCTGCAAAATAAAGAGAAGACTATCTCTAATGTTATATCTGCAAGGAAAACAAACGTATAATGATGTTTTTGGCTATAAGTAATACGGTAATAGGGCTACTCAAGTCACTTAGGAAGAAGAAAAATATCACTTCATTGTATTATGTTTTGGCTACATCCAATTGGGGTCTCGGTTTATTTTATGTGATGAAGGGTTGGTTTGATTTACCCTCTTATATTAAATTCTGCTATTTCTGGTGTTCTCCCTGGTTTTCGTGAATATCTTTTCCTGGATGCTTTTTTGCCATTAATTTTTCGTATGTGGAAGATTTTGTTTAGCATAGTATAGCTAATATACGCCACTTGTGACTAATATAATGATCTTTCATCCAAGTCCTGAAATTTTTTGGTTCAGTTTTTCATGGATGATTGTCTGCAAAAGTTAATTGACATAATTGACATGAAAGAGGATTTGAAAACCTTAATCCCTAGTCACCGTGTGGCCAAGCTTGTTAGAGTTCGCCTAGAAATGCAGGCTCCCTACATTTCGAAGTGGCCTCAAGCACTAAGCATACAGGTAACTTTTTATGATTTATTCATTGTGTTTAGTCTTTATTAGTAGATTCTCTGCCAAGTAAATTTAAAAAAAAAACATAAAATCGTAGGCGCAACCTTCAAATGTTTCCACAAGCTTCAAGCAGAGAGCAATGCTTGTTGATGAGATTTGGCATGCTGCTGGGGACGAGGCAACTGATACTGATTGGTATGTGAAGAGAACAATCCTTGGTGGAATATACTCTGCAGCTGAACTATACATGCTAACTGATACTTCCCCAGGTTAATATACGTTGCATATCAGTAGTTTAATTTTTTTTCCTGCAAAGAGCTTGTTCATTTGGCTTGCTTTCTGTTAACAGATTTTCAGGATACATGGGAATTCCTGGACGAACGAATTAGAGACGCATTCAACCTTAAAAAGACAGTTCAAGAGGTAATCATACTGACCTTTAAATTCATTTGAAGGATTTGTCCTCTTCACTGGTTTTGTGGTTGTCTGAAGTGTCTCAGTGTCGTGTTAATAAAATAACCCGAATTCAATTATCATGTTCCCATCATGTCACATTACTTCTGGATTCTGAAGTTTGGGATGAGGCCGATAAAACTGATTGGCTTAGAGAAAATTAAATAATATCATCCATCTTAGTCATTCTGCTCAGTTAGTGAAACTCAATCCGATTGATTCATGATTTGCAATTTTGCCTGGACAACTTTCGATACTATAACTTTCCCTTGTATGGACTGGTAAAAAAAAGACCAGGCTAATATTACGAGGATTGAATCAGGTCATTAAGTAAATGCACTTCTTGTTGGCTGTTGCAGTGGAAAGAGCTGTGAACTTTAGGGGAAATCTTCTAGTATGTGTGTGTGTGAAAAAGAGTTTTCGACAAAATTATGAAGGAAGATATATGGTCTTCTCTTGTGTTTTGTCTACTTCACCAGGGGAATTGGATAACTTTCTTAAACGAAAAAAATTTGCATTTTACTGTATGTATGCAGTATGCACTTTATGAATTGCAACACATCTAAAATTTGTCATCTGAAATTTTTCGAGACGTGCAAATTTGCAGGCAAAGTATCTGGCAGAAGCAGTGGGAGCTGGGATGGGAGGTTCTGCTCAAGAATTCGTGAAGAAGCTCTTCCAGCGTTGATTATTAACAAGGATGGTGAAAATAATATTACTGCTTTTACACTTTTTTCTCGATGGACCGATAGTAAGAATATTTGCGAGAGTACCGTTTGGCATATGTATAATCCTTGTCCCTATGGAGTGTTATTCAGCAATAAAATGCGAATTACGAATGTTTTATACAGTGAACTTCCCCAGTTAAATCTGTAAATAAATAAAGTGAAAACGGAGGCCAAATAAGTATCTAAATATAGATGCTCTTTGTTCTCAAAATGTTTATGTTTAGCCTTAAAAAAGAAAAATACATATGAACAATAGATAATATAACCATGGCAAAATGGTAAATTACTGTACTGTTTGCACAATAAGCCATGGCAAAAATACATATAAATATATATATATATGCCCATTCCCCTGTGAAATAAGCACACTATTATTTAATACTATTTATTATTTAATAATACTCAAACTTCAATCTTCTTGACCAATCAATATCTATTATAGCTCCCATTGGCATTGTATACTCGCATTCAACCACAACATCAAAGGAAGAGATAACACATATTCACATCTTCTACACCTGCATTTGTCAAATGTAATAATTCATTTTCTTACGCACTTCTTGATTTCTGCACTTTCGTGTGTGTGTGTGTGTGTGTGTGTGTGAGAGAGAGAGAGAGAGAGAGAGAGAGAGAGAGAGAGTCCAACAGGGATTTGAAGTATGTTATTACCCTGTATCCAAAGCTGGCGGAGAAGATAACTTTATATTTCCAGAACAATATCTGCAAAAAGAAAAAAAAAAAAAAAAAAAAAGAAAATCATACCATAAAGCAAAGATCACAATATAACTGCATATACAAATGTTTGATAATACAAAAAAAATGTTTTGTATTCTTACATTCTGAGTCTGTTTTGACCCATTTAGTTTGATGAAAAGACTCTTCATACTCTTCGTCATCGCTATCGACAATCGCAGGCCTATTATCCAAATATTTCTTCGAAGTAGGCCTTTGAGGATATATCTTTTTGTGCAGCAATGCCCTCAGTATCTGAAAAAAAATAACACATCTCGCATGAAACAAAAACAAATGACGAAGACCGAGTTACGAAAACTAGAACGAAGACGGTAACTAAAAAAACCTTATCCAATCTCGAGTTATCCACTTTAGTAGTATCCGGATGCGGGTCCCGCAAGACGAATCCACCTCTGCACAGAAGCGCCTTCTTGATGAGAAACGAGATCGATTTTTTACCGATCCCGTTCTTCCTTTTGTTATTGTTATTATTATTATTATTATTCAGTCGTGCGTCTTTAGCTCCTTTGTTGACTGTACTGCTGATGGTCCTCTGTATACGAGCGTCTTCGTTTGCCAACAAATGAACCGCTCGTTCCTCGATTTCTCTCGAGCAATCCAAGAACAGTTTCTCTCTATCGAGAGAAATGTGGTTATTCAGTAATAATCTCAATTCTTTATCAATAACTTGTTGTTCTTCTTCTTCTTCTTCCTCTTCGAAGTTGTCTTGTACTTGTGATGCGGTGTTTTCATTGTTCGCATGAACGCTCAACTTGTCGGAATTTCCCAATGTACCAATAGCAAGCAAACCGTTTGGCCAATCGGAGTACACTTCTTTGCAGTGGTGCTGCATCATATGATCATCTGCAACATAACATAATTATAATCAAATATATGTATATTATCGATCAAACAAATGTGGGGTCGGTTAAAAAAGACTCACATGACATCGATTCTGGATTCGGCTTGTTCGAAACTTCACTTCGATTACGTTTGTTTAGCGTCCAACCAAAGATCTAAGACAAATAATAGTCATTATAAAATCACAAAACCTATAAAATTCCAAAAAAAAAATATAATTAGTAAATGTTAATTACCTTCATTATTGAATGCTCTAGCTCTATAAGAATCAAGATTTATGAAATAGGATGAGAAATAAACTAAGTATAAATAGTGAAGGCCAATTGGTGGGGTGGTGAGAAATTTCACAGCCAAGCTGCTCTATATATATTAGTGGTCCAAGTTCCAAAAGGATGTCCCCTTGCCGCCATTTTTATTTTTTTATTTATTTCTCTTTGTCTTAGTGTCCATTATATTATATTTTTCTATTATTTATTAATAATAAGATAGTAATTTATCCCGTTTCAAATTAACCGTCGCTTTGGCAGACTTTTCTAGTACAATAACACTGTCACTTTAGAATTACAGTACTCTCAATTTTGGCATATCATGCCTTAATTAAACGAAGAAAGAATTAGTTGGGAATAAAGCTGATGCAAAGGGTATTTTAGTCGCATCCTATATTTTTTGGTTAAGAATTCACGCTATTTTTAAGTTTTCTTAATATTCGTACATCAATTTAAAACGACAGTTACTTTGAAATAGATGGCGTAACATGTCTACAACATGTATCACATTCGGTCATTAAAAACACTATGACGCTCAAGTCAGCTCCAAACATAAAAGAGTTACCGATAATTCGAGAGTTTTCGAAACAACAAAATATCAAGTACAATAAATAATAATTAACCCAAATTATATTTAAATAAATCATATTAGTGAATTAAGTTTGTTTGGTAGAGATGGATGTAGCACAAGCTAAGTGCTGTCCTAATCTGATGTTTTCTTTTATGTTTTTCCAAAATTAGCTCTGAAAGTTGATAAAAGCTTTGTCATCTTTGAACATGTTCACAAATGGGAGCTTAATTAAACTGTAATTAAGACCCTGATTAATTAATTATTTATTAGCTTTACACTTGTCATGCAGGCTAATGATATGACATGTAAAAAGAAAGACAATAAAAAGGTAGGTGTGTTTATTAGGCATGCATTTGTATGCTCTAAAACTGCAAATAATCAAAGGCTACAAATAAAAGGTGTCTCAATTTGGCTGCCCACAATTGAGATCAAATAAGTTATGTAAAATATAAATATAAATTAATTGATTAATTAATTAATAAAAGGTACAAAATTGGGGTATAGGGGGATGGAGTTTGTGTAGGAAAATGTTTTATTTCCGTGGGATGTCACTTACTCACCCAACCTTGACAACTTGTCTGCATTCTTGTATTATTATTATTATATTATTTATTGTTCTTGTTTGCTCTAATGAGCTAAGCTAATTTGTAATTAAGTTAATTGCATTATCAAATTAGGACAATGGAGTTTCTTATCAGCAAATTAAAATAAAAAAATTGGACAATGAAGTTTTTGTTTCGATGTAATTCCACTGTTTTGTCTTTTTATTAAAAAAAAATATATATCTCACATTTTTATTATTTAGAAGTTCTTGGAAACAATACGGGCTACGCCCGAAATCATTAAGTAATTGGTTGTCGAACTTTACTGTCAATTTTCAGAAGTTCACTATTCAATTTTCGTAAATTTATCGTTGTATTTTGTTGAAAAACTCATTTCCACAAGTTCACAACTAATTTTCATAAGGTTATTAATTGTACTCATATTTTGTTAAATAAAAATTGTAAAAGTCCTTTTTAAAAGTCCGAATAAACTAAAAGGCTTATTAGAATACTAAATACTAATAGAACAGCTTGTTTATTTATCTATTAATTAATAATATTATATTGGGTCTAGGGCAAACAATGAAAGGCAGAAATGCTTAATAATAATTAATAAATAATTAATAATTAATTAGAAGCCTAAATGTTGAAGCAGAATGGTAGAATATTCAGAACCTGAACAAAAGCTAAATGACATACAAACGTAACCTACTCCACATGCTACAATGTATTTATATTTATTGACCCATCGTACCCCTAAATCCATATATATCTTCTCTAATAATTCAAACATTTATACATACATCCATACATACATATATATATATATATATATATATACACACACACATAATATAATGTGAGATCGATCATTGCTTATAAATTGTTGAGAGGAATTAATAAAAACCCTGAAATCATCCATGCATCGATCTGCCCTAGCTAGAAAGCTAATATTCTCCTTTTGGGGCTCCATCTCAACACTCGTGCACGTGGACTTGTCCCATTCCCCACATGCCCACACAAACAAATTCAAATTCATATATTATTATATGTTTTGATCAACACAAACAAATAAAATTAGGGTAAATTACGAAAACCCCCTTTACTTAGACTAAATTACAAAAACCACCTCCATCTAATCGTAATTATCAAAAAATCTCTAATGTTTGTTTCCGTGTTACACAAACCCCTTGGCTCCTTAGACCCTACACCCGATGATAAATACCGGGTGGGTCTCCTGCTGACACGTGTATTTTTTTGTATTTTTCTAAAATCCCTACAGGTTAACTGTTACCCCCTTAATCAGTGACATCGGTAATGGCTCGAGTGTGGCCGAGCCATGACCGATAAATGGTGCCAAGTGGGGATTGGCACAAGGCAGCCACACAACCGGCCAATGAGTGGTCGGGCGTTCAGCCAATGAGTGGTCGAGTGATCGGCAAGCATTTGGGGTGCTTGGCCGAGAAAAGCAAGGATCGGCTTGATTCAAGTGGGAACGGTGATCGAAAGTACTTGTGGCTGGCACGGGCGTTGCTCGGCAGCAAAGTCGGACAAAGCGTGGGCAATCATCGGCATGTGGCCGATAACGTGGGCAAACGAACGTTCGAGGGAAATCGACCACGACTTGACAAGTGTGGGCAAAATTGGCAAGGCAAGCAAGGCAGCCCGATGAGCGGGCGTGTCGATGACCGTGTGGGCAAAGAACTGGCAAGTAATCGGTAAAGGGAAGCTAAAGTGCGGAAAAGGCAAGGCAGATGGGCTGCCTAGCAACCGGCCGGGCTGTTTGGGCCGTTTGGCGCGCGTTCGCGGGCTCGTTCAAGTTGGGCTTCGGAAATCAGCCTTGTGGGCGGATTTGAGGAAGTTATGGAGCGGTTGAGGCCTGAAAATGCATGAAAACTGCCCCTTTATACTTGTAATAGTTGGCCAAGTGTCATGTTTGTATGCTGCCATGTGTCCTTAGGTAGTTTTGTGTGAAAACTACCTTTTCCTTGTATTTATTTGGCTATGAGTGCACAAATCCGAGGCATCTAGTATCTAGCATATGAGAGTTCAGATTGCAATTGTTGGGCAATTCTGAGTGAGGATTTTGTGTGTGCACCTTAGTCTCCTTTGTATTCGTTGTGGGAATTAATATAAAGGTTGGGCATTGCCCGTAAACGTGCTTGTGTGTTTGATTTCCGCTGCATACTCTTGTATTCGTTTACGTGGCTGAAAAGACTTGTGTTTGTGCGTGTTTGTGCGAAGAAAATCGTGAGGAAGGCTGACTGGTTTGGTGGGCAAATCAGGCCGTACGGTGGGAAAATTTCGGTGATAAATTAACCCCTGTAACAGTTGGTATCAGAGCCCGGTTCAAGGGTTCTGAACGTGTTGCTGTTCGGCATGGCTGACGATTCTGGATCTTCGACAAATCCAAATCCTACTCGTGTGATGATGCTAGAGATGGAATCAAGGCTGCAACGTCTTGAAGCCTTGGTTGGGCCGCCCCTAGATCCAACGGATCCACCGATTTTGCAAAGACTCGCTGATGGGAAGCGAGATATCGATCGTTTGTCAAGATCGTTGGACGATCTGCCCGAATTTGTGGAGGGCAGATTCACGTCCGTTGCCGAGGAGATGGGACTCCTCATTGATGCCGTTGAGACGAAGCTTGATGGGATGCTTACAGATCTGGCGGTGTTGAAAAGGGTTGTTCGTAATGAAGGCTCGAGTTCTGAGGGCAGAACATCGGGATCCAAGGTTCGTGTGCCGGAACCGACTGCGTTTGATGGTGTACGCAGCGCCAAAGAAGTTGAAAACTTCGTGTGGGATATGGAGAATTACTTCGAGGCAGCGAAGGTTCCGGATCGCGAGAAAGTTACCATTACAAGTATGTATCTTGTGGGCGATGCAAAGTTGTGGTGGCGTGCTCGTTTGTCAGACGATGCAAGTGCTAACCGAGTCAAGATCGAGACTTGGGAGGTGCTGAAACGGGAGTTGAAAGAGCAATTCCTACCTTGCAACGTGGGCTGGATTGCAAGGGAATCCCTTCGGCAATTGAAGCACAAGGGAACCGTGAGGGAGTATGTCAAGGAATTCAGTTCTCTGCTCCTTGACATACGTGATATGTCCGATGAAGATAAGCTGTTCAACTTCATGGTTGGATTGCAGCCATGGGCCCAAACCGAGTTGCGGAGACAAGGTGTGAAGGATCTGCCAAGTGCTATCTCGGCAGCGGACCGACTTGTCGATTACAAGGTGATGGGGGCCGATGATTCCGATAAGGAAGGCTCGAAGAGGGATAAGTCCAAGGGGAAGAAGTTCGGTGGCAAGGGTGGCCGAAATTGGAAGCACAAAGAGAGCGGTGATGGCGAAGGATCCTCGGTGCAAACCAAGACCGGTGGACAGCCCGTCGTCAACAAACAGAACCGTGGGTGCTTTCTATGTGATGGCAACCACCGAATGAGGGACTGCCCTAAGCGGAGCAAGTTGAATGCTTTGATGCGGGATTCGGATAGTGTGGAAGAATCGGACGAGACGAGGAGAGCAACTCCGATTCAATTGTTGAGTGCTTTGGTCGTGGACAAGGCACCCAACGGCACCAAGGGCTTGATGTATGCCACGGTGCTGATCAATGGCAAAGAGGTGAAGGCTATGGTTGATTCGGGAGCAACTCATAACTTCGTTGCCGAGAGAGAAGTCAAGAAGCTGGGCTTGACTCTCTCAAAACATGCAAGCCAAGTCAAGGCTGTAAATTCAGAGCGGGGCCGGTGAGAGGCAGAACCGATGTCGATCTAGTGATCGGTTCTTGGAAAGGGCAGTGCGGGCTGACTGCCGTACCACTTGATGATTTCGACGTGATATTGGGGCAAGAGTTCCTACTTGCTGCCAAGGCTGCGGTGATTCCGTTTCTCGGTGGGCTGATGATTATGGACGAAGAGCGTCCATGCTTTGTCGAATGCTCGTACGTGACAAAAGCAAAGGCGGGAAAGAAACCGGTGGCGAGGTTGGCTGCGGTGCAATTGGAGGCAGAATCGAACGACGAGGAGTCATCGAGCCTAATTGCAGCCGTTGGAACCAAGACGGTGAATTCTCGGGCTGGTTTGCTTGTACGTGCGTTGCCGAGAAATGAGTCGAGGGCAGAAGGCAAGTTAAGGTATTCATTTGGGTTGATGAATGGGCATTGTGGCCTAACTTTTGTTCTAAGTTGCTGCCGTGTGTGGCACAACTCGTGGGTTCGAAATGTGGTATCTTCTGAATTTCGTGTGCAAGTTGTTGGGTTTTTGTTGGGCTGGTTTCTGTTGTTGATGAAATGGAAGCCGTGCTTGGGTGATTTTCGTGGGCTGGAAGTCTCCTTTCTCGATCGGTGTGGCAATCGAGATAAAATACTAGTTGTGCCAAAAACTAGTATTTTCACTTGTGGTTGGGTGCTGCCGTTTGAACGTGGTTGGCGTTCGTTTTTCCGAGGGCTGAAAGAATTTGTGGGAAATTCGTGGGATCAGACTTGGGATATTTTGGGTTTCGATGTGGTGCTGGTGCGCAAGCACAATCGAAGACGGTGGCAAGACAAGTGGAAAGCTGAAGCCGATGGTGTCGGTTCGACGAGGGCGTCGAACACCGTTGGTGGGGGAGGTCTGTTACCCCCTTAATCAGTGACATCGGTAATGGCTCGAGTGTGGCCGAGCCATGACCGATAAATGGTGCCAAGTGGGGATTGGCACAAGGCAGCCACACAACCGGCCAATGAGTGGTCGGGCGTTCGGCCAATGAGTGGTCGAGTGATCGGCAAGCATTTGGGGTGCTTGGCCGAGAAAAGCAAGGATCGGCTTGATTCAAGTGGGAACGGTGATCGAAAGTACTTGTGGCTGGCACGGGCGTTGCTCGGCAGCAAAGTCGGACAAAGCGTGGGCAATCATCGGCATGCGGCCGATAACGTGGGCAAACGAACGTTCGAGGGAAATCGACCACGACTTGACAAGTGTGGGCAAAATTGGCAAGGCAAGCAAGGCAGCCCGATGAGCGGGCGTGTCGATGACCGTGTGGGCAAAGAACTGGCAAGTAATCGGTAAAGGGAAGCTAAAGTGCGGAAAAGGCAAGGCAGATGGGCTGCCTAGCAACCGGCCGGGCTGTTTGGGCCGTTTGGCGCGCGTTCGCGGGCTCGTTCAAGTTGGGCTTCGGAAATCAGCCTTGTGGGCGGATTTGAGGAAGTTATGGAGCGGTTGAGGCCTGAAAATGCATGAAAACTGCCCATTTATACTTGTAATAGTTGGCCAAGTGTCATGTTTGTATGCTGCCATGTGTCCTTAGGTAGTTTTGTGTGAAAACTACCTTTTCCTTGTATTTATTTGGCTATGAGTGCACAAATCCGAGGCATCTAGTATCTAGCATATGAGAGTTCAGATTGCAATTGTTGGGCAATTCTGAGTGAGGATTTTGTGTGTGCACCTTAGTCTCCTTTGTATTCGTTGTGGGAATTAATATAAAGGTTGGGCATTGCCCGTAAACGTGCTTGTGTGTTTGATTTCCGCTGCATACTCTTGTATTCGTTTACGTGGCTGAAAAGACTTGTGTTTGTGCGTGTTTGTGCCAAGAAAATCGTGAGGAAGGCTGACTGGTTTGGTGGGCAAATCAGGCCGTACGGTGGGAAAATTTCGGTGATAAATTAACCCCTGTAACATTAACCAAAGTGGGGGAATATATAATAAATAATTAAATATAACACGTTTCAGCAGAAGGCTCACCCGATGTTTATCACCGGATGTAGGGTCAAAAGAACCCAAACCCCTTAGAGTGTGACTTTTCACGGATTTTTTTTTTCTTTTCCAGGGAATAGACTTTACACAATTTCAAATGTTTTATTTTATTTCTCACCTATTTAACATAAGGTATAATAGATTGTACACATTTTATGTTAGAAAACTCGATCAACAGTTAATCAGAAGGGGGATTTTGATTATTACGGGGGCGTTTTTTCGTTATTTAACCTAAGTTCGAGGGGATTTTTGTAATTTACCCGTAAAATTAATACAATTAAACATTAATTCATGTCCATCGAGTTTCCATGGCGGGACCACACGTGTCAGACCGGGACATTTTGATTAATGTTCATCGTACCCATATCACACCAACACCTGTGTTTTTCAAACAAAATCTCCATGGTCGATCGATATCCTTAATTAATTAATTAATTAAATAATTAAATAATTAATTAATAAAATTTGTAGTCAACTAGTAATTTGATGGGGGGCCACCCCCTCATCCCCGTTCGCTTATACCCATGCCAATGTTTATAAACTTTATAGCAATTGAATATATTATATTGCAATAATGCATGCATCCCCAAAAATATAACAACTCACATTTGCCCAAGTTTCAATGTGTGAACTCTTTAATTTCTTGACTGTGTGAATAATTAACCTGTGATTTCCGAGTGATTCACCACGAGGTCAAATCAAATTAAAATTAAAATAAATATTAGTATATTTTGATAAAAAATAATATAAAATCTCAAATATATGATCGATCTTTAATAAATTAGAAAAATAGGCAATAGAGGAGGTGAATAAAATAAGATTGTAGGAAAAACAAATCTTGAGGTTGGATAGACTGAGAACTACTACTCAAAGCAATAAAATGAAATGTAATTCAACAAAGAATTTCAATTTTTTTTAATATATTTTCTTGTTTGTTATGAGTTGATTTTGATTATTAGTTAAGAAACTCCAATAATACTGCAGCATATGTTGGTTGGAGCATATTTGCAGTTCGTGGTCCCCTAATCCAGAAACTTAGCAATGTGTTTAATTAATCAAGACTCTTTAACCAATCAATTATCGAAACGTTTAAATGTTAAAGTATTTGTTAATTACTTTTGATTATGAGGTCCATTTAAACATTCACCTCGAATCATGAACAAATTAAGAAGAATATCCGATTTAAGATTCATAGTAATCTATTAGCAAGAAACTTTGATGGAAAATACGAGTTGGGAGGCCGAGGCACGAAAATATTTCGTTTTCTTAAGACGAATTGTACCCATAAATAGTGTTGATCGAGAGCAATTCCAATCATATCGGCCCACTAGGCAAGTTTGACCCCATAAAAAACGAGGCTCGCAAGCTGCCAAATAACGACTCATCCTTGAGTAACTCTGGCGGGCAAGACAAATCGTGAAAGGACCTCCGTAACGAGAGGACGTTCGAATGTGAGGCAGCGGAACAATCTGCTGCCTAGGCTATATGACAACATTTAATGCACGTCCCATCAACTGTCAGGTTCAGGGAATGTTTGTTGCTTTTGGCACATGTTGCTATCCCACTATTCACTTGAAATGACATAGGATATGCGATTGAAAGGTAATTTAGAGTCCGAAGATATTTTATTGAGATGATACGACAGGTGTAACTGGATTGAAGGAGGAGTGAAGTCCACTCCTCCCATTATAAATATTCGACGTCGCGAGCCATGCAAGATAAGAACCTAACATCCAAAGAAAAACACATAACTTGTGAAAGAATCCTATTTAGAAAAATCACTAATTTGGCCGTCGGAGTATTAACTCCGGCCTAAAACGTTCAAATTTTTAGCGTGCGCGATCTTTAAATACTTTGTCATCTGATATTATAGTCTTTAATTCTTCAAGATGGATTATACAGGATTAAAGACTATAATCACAATGTAATAATAAACAATAGCAACGTAGATGAGTCCTTCCCAGGCATATTAGAGGATATAACAATATGTAGATGAGTCCTAATTAATGTACAAACTAATTGTACAGTTTTCTGCTGCTTTGGACAAAATGTTAACTTAGGCTTCGATTCACCTAGAAATCCGTACAATCTTCTTACAATATCTGTATGTATATATATATAATTATACATATAATTATCAAGATTTATCATTCGTTTCCATCACAGCAACAGGCATAGCAGCCCAAACAAGCCAAAGCACCGAACAGCTGAGTGAATGCAATCGCGCACTGATCGTTCATTTTAGAGCAACACTGTATGCAGTACATGCAACAGCAGTGGTTGAGAAGCCTTCCGCAGCACACAGAAGCCGCCTTTACGAAAACCTCTGCAGCATCGGCTGGTTTCGTGTCTTTACACCCTGGAGGAATATTATCGCCTGTAGCAATTGGATTTCCGAAACCGAGCCCCACGTTGTGCAGCACCGATATTCTTTTAGGTTTGGAGTCTTCGGCCTTGTTGTGTTGATCCGCTTTGCTTTTGCTCGAAACCTGCAACCGTGTCTTTTTAGGTTTTTACAGTTAATTTAAGGTGCGTGTGTGTGTGAATAAGAACGAACCTGTTGCTTAGTGGTGGAATCGACTTTTGTTTTCCCTCTCTCTGTCTCGAGCAAGACCATGCTCGTGTGTTCAGAGATAATACCGTTTAGGACACTCATTTTCGCTATCTGTTGACAGAAGAAAACACACATCATCAATTACGTTTGGCTACAATCTTCGTTTTATAGATTAGTACACGAAATTAGTAGCATACGTATCGAAATATACCTTATCCTGGAGCTCCTGATTGTCTGAGAACCAGGCTTGAGCTGTGAGTTGTTCAATCTGATGTTTGGCTACAATCTGTGGATATTTATCCAATTAAATAAAAATGTTATCTTTATTACACAGCGTATTTCATGCAGTGCAAAACTTATATAAACCGAAGGAACTACTAAAATAAATTCGGGTATATTACCTTGGCAATAGGTATCTCGCTTGCCTGTTCCACTTTCAGCTCGAGAGAAAAATTGCTCATATCTGCAACGATACCATTAACTTTAAGGGTATTCGGAAAAGATCCCTGGTATCTGCCTGACACAATCAACGGGCTTTCAGACGAAAGGTCTGGAATTTCAGAAGAAAACACCTACACCATGAAAACCATTAACTCTTCGTTAAAAAAAACTCAATTCCGTAAGTAATATCAATAGAAAACGAAAAAAACGAATAATATATTTACCTCAAGATCAAGTGTATCTAGATTCTCAAAAGCAATATTTGCTAGAAAGATAGATGACGCTCTAGCAAATAGCCGTCTCACTCGAACCTCAATGGAATCTGACAAATCGAAGAAAACAAATTAGAGAAGGGGATTTTATTATCAGATCTTCTTATTATACATGTGAAAATAGAAAGGCGATGTATATATTTACAGGACAGAGAAAAACTTACCGACATCACTGGCGATTTCATGATGCCCCCGACCAGTTGTTGCAAGCATCCGAAGAAAATAATGATTACAGAATGTGCCTAACACATTCAAATCACTAGTTTAGAACATTGAAATAAAAATCAATGATTACAGAATGTGCCTAACACATTCAAATCACTAGTTTTGAACATTGAAATAAAAATCAATGTAATGAGAGAAACAGCAAGATTTAGAGGTGACTTTGTTATAAGACAAAGATCTTCTCTTTGTCTGAACTTGCGGGCCCGACTCACCAGTTTGACTACTTGTGTGTAACAAATTTTATTATATTTTTTCCTAGGTTTTTCCTCATCCACCTCTTGAATATTTTTTTAATTACATTCGATGAATTTGAAACATTATAAATACATAACTACACACCTATGCCGAGAGTGTATATTCTTGTAGAAACGTTCTTTTGGCTTGTTAACTGAGTTTTCACCGTGTCGCAAATATGTTTCTCGTCTTCCACAGCTCCATCAGTAATGAGGAAAATGATTGGCATTGAGTTGCAACTATCAGATAACATATTCATAGCCTGAATAGTAAAGGCAGTTTCTGTTAGTATACAAGTATCAGCTTTTAACAGAGCCGATAGATATAAATGACAAACAAATTACGCATTCCTGAACTATATATAGAAGTTCGAAAGGTACCTGATTTAGAGGAAGCAGAATATTCGTGCCACCACCAGCTACAAAATTCATATTGATCCACTGAGTCACATTTTCAATAGCTTCTGAAGTTGCTGGCTCAAGTGCCGAGGAAAACAGGTAAATTTCACCATTGAATGCAATTACATTAAACGAGTCTTTGGGGTCAAGCTTCGCGAGTGCAGCGAAAAGGGCATTTTTGGTATCTTCGAGTGTTCTACCTCTCATGCTTCCACTAATATCAACAACAAACACCACTTCCTTCCTAAAAACCTTTACACAATTTAAATCGAATTCAGCCAATATTCATCCGAAAGCAATAGTTACAAGAAATATTTTTAATAATAATAATGAAAGAGAGACTGAATCTCGAGTTACCTTTTCACTCTGCTGCTTCCCCGGGAAAACATAGCAACAGAACATATCCCTATTGTCTGCATCCTGTAACAATGGAGGACTCAAAAGTACACCACCAAGAGTATGACTTGAAGACACCTGAAAAATCGGTACCGTAGAGATTTCTTTCTGGTCAAACGCATTGCTTATGAACAACTACTTATCGAAAAATATCAGATTACACACAAAAAATGTATATTTAAAATCTTACAGTATATGCGAACTGAAAATCATTGCTTGACCATGAAAGAACTTCAGCTTCATACAAGAAACCCAACTTTCCAGCTTGTCGTAGTCGCTCCTAAAATCTCGAGAAAAATGAAAACTGTAAGGAAAATCATTCTTCTTATTCATCTCGTAATCGACCATCGGAAAGAGTAATGGTGTACCTTCAGGGGATGAGAACTAGTTCTGCACAAAACCTCGGTACCGGGACCCGCATTAACATTCAACTGTATCTTCTCATGTTTAGATATCTTCTTTGCAGCTGGGGTTACATACTCGGGGAAACTAAATGGAATATCCAAGGTGAATTGACCGTCATGATACACTAACTTTTGTGACCATCTAAGTTTAACAGATATATTGGTTCCTCCATCAATCTGAAAATAAAGAGACATAATACCATGTTTGTTAAACAAAGATCGAGTATGTTATTCAGACAGTACAACAAGAAAGGGCATAGGAGGACTTGCCTGTGGAATTGTAAGAGTGAATATATGAGCTCTTAAGAAGCCTCCATCTTCAATTTTCGCCACCTTTTGTTCTGTACATTTTTCGTTTTCCGCGGCGATTATTTGGGTAGAGTACGATTTCCTCGGCACCTCAACCTCCACACCTAGAATTGAACCCTGTTAGCCAAATAATATACTTCTTGAGAACCAAAAATAAAACCATCGCGTCGCTAATGTGAAGCGAGACAAGTACAATAATTTTACAACCGACAGCATAACGAGAGTTTATCGCAACATAAATTACAAGTGAACATGTATAATACCAACTTCAAAGACAAATTCACCCGAATAGCTCACACGGAATAAATACTAAACCAAGTCAGAACAAAAATTTCCCTCATTTATATGCACTAAGATAAGATGAAGCGTGTTCTTACTACAACAGAGGTTGCAAGAGAACAGGGGTAGCCCTAGTAAAATGAAGTAGAAAAACAACCTATTTTATTTTGCTTGGATGAAATTCAGACAATTAGAAGCATAAAAGAAAGAATAAAGTGCAGAAGAGAAGAATCTATCTACAGCTACCTGTTCGCCCATGGGAACAGCGATGCGGCAATCACAGCTGCGGCTGCCCATGACGCAGTGCACGCGCCACGTGCCGGTGACGGTGACGAACGCGGTGTCGAGATAGCAATCAACCTCGAGGGAAACCCCGTTCATCTGGAGCGGGATCAAGGCCGGGGGGTCGCACCTGCCGTGCACGTGCGGCTGGTAGCTCGGCATGTCCGGGTTGTCGACGATCGCCGGGTCGGAGATCACGGCGTAGACCATTGGGGAGTTCGGGAGGTACGAGTACCCGGCGGCCCTCTCCATCGCCGTCGGGGGCTTCGGCGGCGCAACCGCCCTGTCCTTGCCGAAGTACACCCTCTTAGAGAGGCGCAGCCCATCCTCCACCGCGGCCTCGAAATCCTCCGCCATAGCTAGCAGTTCCAAAAAATGGGGAATTCGAAACGTGATTTTTTTTTTTTTTTTTTTTTTTGAAGGCTGGAGCCGACGATTTAGGTTAATGGCGATTATTGTACGAACCTTTAGGAGAGAGAAAAAAGATGGCCGTTGGAAACGGTGGGACCCACCACCTAATGAAATTATCTCCTGCAACAAGAGCGTCACTAGCTTTTTGCACCCTAATGGAGAATCTGTTGTACAAACAGTAAAGGACAATTGTCGTCCCGATTGTACAAACATTTGAAGCTCGGTCCTGTGAGCCTTGCTGCAGAGGATAAAGCTCCCAACGGTTCTTTTCTTTTCGTCTCCATTTGATAAGGAGGGCCGTACGAAATTCCAGGCGTTAATTTAACGAATCAACTGTTCCCAGCTCAGCAGCCAATTCATAATTTTCTGTTAATTTCTATACATTTGTCGCTACATTTCTCTATGTCGAATCTCAGACAATTCATTTTTTCTTTTTATTATTGCTTAAAATTAAAATTTCTGAAAAAAGTTTTCGTTGACTCACAGTCAACGGACTATTACAATATTTAAACATTTAAAACTTAAGCCCAGCCCGAAAACATTTATCTTAGCCCGGCCCGCTTTCAATGAACAAATGTGGGCCTAAAATCGACAACATTTAGGCCCATTAACATCCTTAGACCAAATCTTATAATTTAAGTCAATTTTTTTTTGACATATTTCTATAATAGTAATTAGTAACTTTTATGTATAATTTATATATTTACTAAATAAAAATTAATTATAGTTCTGATTGTTAAATTAATTAATTTGTATATATTTAACTTTAATTTCTCTAACTTTGATTAATTATTTTATATTAATTAAATATACCCATCCCACCTTAATTATGATTATTATAACTGATATTATACTATGATAACAAACTAATTGACATGTTAATTGTGCTTTTAATAACATAAAGTTTAAATGTTTTTAAACCCATAGCAAAATTAATAATTTACAATTGTATCACTTTAAATGAATAATAATGAATTTTCCAAACATTTCTTGTTCATAAAGTTTTCAAACAGTGGTGAGCAATAATTAGATGTGATTATTTTTACTAAAAAAAAATTAGATGTGATTATTTATTTATTTATTTATTTTAGGGAAAATCATTAGAAATTATCAAATTACTGAATATAATCTTTTATGTTGAATTTGCTAATACTCCATAATTAATTTCTTCACCGGCGCGAAACATCAACCCTCTGTCAATCCGCCGCCCGCCGCCATTCTTCCACCACCGTGATTCGCCGTACAATCCACCATGTCCTCCACCAATTGACCATAAAAAACAATCTCAGGATTTTACTTATTTCACAAACAAATCAGCAAACAAGATAATGATGACTCTCAGATACGCGAGGCAGACCAGAGCCTTCCTCTCTCCTCCCTCCGCCGCCGCCGCCACCACCACCGCACTTCCACTCTTCTCCACCGCCGCCACCCATCCCCACTCTATTTCCTCCGCCGCTTCGTCCTACTCCTCCAATCCCACCATTTCGAACGGATCCCTCTCCGAGATACACCACGCCGGCCTCGTATTCTACTTCCGGGAATGGCTCATGTCTCGAAAGACACCTATCTTCGATCATATCTTCGAAATCCTCCGCGCACAAGAAGATTCCTCCGCCGATTCCGCCCTTTCTCACTTGAATTTCGGCGTATCGGAAGCTTTAGTTCTCGATGTATTGAGTTACGGGAGTAAAGATGTACTCTCCTGCTTGAAGTTCTTCGATTGGGCGGGCCGGCAGCCCGGCTTCCACCACACGAGAGCCACATTCAACGCCATTTTCCGGATCATATCTCAGGCGAAGCTGATGAATCTAATGGTAGACTTTTTAGAGAACTATACGAAGCAGAGGTATGTCCATAAAGTAATGTACTACAATATCTTGGTCATAGGTTACGCCGTAGCAGGCAAATCGGAGATTGCACTCCAACTGTTTGGTAGAATGCGGTTTCAGGGCGTGGATTTGGATTCATTCGCATACCATGTGCTTATGAATTCTCTCGTCGAGGAGGGTTATTTTGATGTAGTGGAGACGGTGGCGAAGGAAATTAGGATCCGGGGGTTTCAGAATGAGGTCACGCATTCGATTATGATGAAGAATCTTTGCTTGCAGAATGAGTTGGAAAGGGGAGAGGAGTATCTGCGTGGTCTTGTCGAGGATAACGGGGCGCGGTTGAGTGGAATTCCTGTCGCTACCTTCGTGGCCACCTTGTGCAAGAATAATAAATTTGATAAGGCCGCATTGTTAATCGAGGAGTTTACGAAAATGGGCTCCGTTTCGATGGAGCATGCATATGGTGTGTGGATTAGGGACCTCGTCAAGGCTGGGAAGTTGGATCGTGCCTTGGAGTTTTTGAAGGACAAGCAGGCGGTTGAGGATTATGTTCCGGATGTATTTCGTTATAACATGTTAATTTCTAGGCTTGTGAGGGAGAATAGGCTCGACGAGATCTATGATCTGTTCGCTGAAATGAAAGAGAAGGAGATATTGCCTGATGTTGTCACCATGAATGCTGTCTTGTGCTTTTTATGCAAGGCAGGGATGGTGGACATTGCAATGGACTTGTATAATTCGAGGGTGGAGTTTGGCCTCTCTGTTAATTGCATGGCTTATAATTATCTTATAAATACTCTATTGGGGGATGTCAGTGTCGATGAAGCGTATAACCTGTTGAGGAATTCCATGGAAGAGGGTTATTTCCCTGGTGAAAGGACCTTTTCCATTATTGCGGACGCTCTCTGTAGAGAAGGAAAGCTTGATAAGATGAAGGAGCTGGTTGTTTTCATGCTAGACCAGAATATCATGCCTAGTAACTTCACGTATGACAAGTTCATATCGGCTCTTTGTAAGGCCAGCAGAGTTGAAGAAGGGTACTTGTTACATGACATGCTCAACAGAATAAATAAATCATCTAGAGCGAGTACTTACCTGCACCTGATAAGTGGATTTAGTAGGTCAAGTAGAGGAGATATAGCAGCAAGATTGCTCATTGAAATGCAAGAAAGTGGTTTTAGGCCAAGCAGGAGATTGGTCAGAGAGGTAATTAGCTCCTTATGTAAAATGGATAATCCGGAGAAGCAATTCTACGGGTTGCTTGAGATGCTGCTGGCTCGTAATCAGTTGCCCACGTCTCGCAGTTACAACTTATTAATTGATGGAGCTGGACATGCGGGGAAGCCTGAACTGGCCATGCTAGCATATGAAATGATGAAAAGCGGCGGTCTTCTACCTGATTTGAAGTCCGATATCATATTGTTGCAAAGTTATCTGAAAAGCAAAAAAACTGCTCATGCTATGGAGCTGTTCGGCGATTCGTCCACGAGATGGAAGAAGAGAAAACTGTGGCACACCATGGTTATTGGTCTTTGCAAAGTCAAGAAACCGGGAGTATGCATCACAGGTAATGGAGGATATGAAGACAAACAAGATAACACCTAGTGTCGAATGTTATGAGGAGCTTATAAAGCTGTATTGTGATTTGGAGCAATATGATAAAGCTGTGGATATTCTCAATGATATGACTCAAATCGGTCGTCCGGTTTCTTCCTTCATAGGCAATTTATTTCTGTTGCACGCATTGAGAACTAGGAAACTGTATGATGCTTGGGTTTCTTCATCCGAGAAGGAAAATCTAACCTCTGCCAGTTTGGTGTTGGGCCACCTAATAGGTGTTTTTTCTGGTTGTGTTGAAGGAAACTACGATGACGAGGATATGGAAGAACTGATCCAGCAAAGCTTCCGTATGGATATTTATACAAATAATATGCTTTTGAGGAGATTAAGTTTGAAAGGAATGGACTTCGCTTGTAATTTTTTTCACAGATTACAGAAAAAAGGGTATGAACCAAATCGATGGACTTATGATATAATTGTCCATGGTTTAGCCAAAGATGGTCGGAAATCAGAGGCTAAAAAATGGATGGAACGGATGTTCAGTAAAGGGTTTCATCTGACAGAAGTTACCCAACGTATGATCTAAGCATGACCGAAAGTTCAGTTTTGCAAGGTTCATAATAATGGACAAATGTGTAACCTCCAAACATATATGTGAGTTATTCACATTTTTACTCACAGTATACATTTTTGTTTGTAGTTGTGCTCATCCTTGAATTATTCTTCTTCACGGTACCTCGGTACTGCTTGTGTGTATAGATTTACTCATCTTTGATTTAAAGAGAGGATCCTAATATATCTGGTTATCCTCAAGTTGCTTTTTTTTTTCTTTTTTGGCTTATATCAGTTGCTTCTTCATATCTCATTGATGCTTACTATGAACACAACACTCTCAATTTGCATATTTGAAGTTAGCTCATGAAATTTGATATCTTGTCAAGGCATTTCATATAGTGTTATGATTGGGTCAAATGTGAATTATACATGATAATGTGTGGGTTATTCTCATTTTTCTTTTGTGCCGATTCGCAACTGCATATGCTATCCTTTAGGGTCTCGGATAGTTACGATGATAAAGACCTGCTGGATTCTCGAGATGAAAACACTGAGAGGGCCTTCGAATTTGATAATCTGTCACTCTTGCGAGCTATCAGTGCAATGGAAATAATTGGTGAGTCAAAGGTTTTCCTTTAAATTAAAACGAAACAGTAGCATTTGTCGGGTAAGTGGTGTTAAATCAATAACAAAATCTTGTTCTGCAAAAAGAAAAATAAAACATGTTACATAAAAAAAAGTTAGTTATCTAGAAATAATCTTCGTGTATTCAGCTTTTTAGATATGATAATCTTCTTCACTTGCTAATACGATTTCTTTGTTAATACCTCGTTGCTTGCAGTCATCAGTGTTGCATTGTTTAGATGCTTACCTTAGAAGAGGTCGCCCCTTGAGAAGTTCATCAGTGTAAAAGGATATCGTCTAATTTACAGTGGAGGATGCGGATTCTCATTTACGTTCTCTCTGGACTTATGTGGAAAGAGAAAACCGAGACCCGATTGAGAAAGAGTTACTCAGAGGCACGAAGCTACATTTTCTCTTCCAAGGGAGTAAGTCACGAACATGTCCCTTCAATTAGTGATCCCTTTTGTTCTATTGTTGAAATATCAAATATGTATACGTGTGTGTATATATATTTATTGGTAAGTGTATCTCAATTAACAGTAAATTTAAAATGAACTTGCGTATATTTTACAGGTTCTTGGAGAGAAGTAGCCACATATTTCCAGATTGGCTGTTCGGCACTACTGCATAGAAAAATCCATCTTCAACGTATACCCAAAAGGTACGTGCGTATGGTCTAGCCATGTGTTACTTTTGGATCTTAGCTCTTAATATCTTGAAAGTTGTGAGAAGGACCCGAAAAATCTCAAATGTTTGTACTCTACTGAAACAAGAATATGTTATGAGGTGGAACCTACAGTTAACAAAAGGGAAGAGGGCGATGGCATATTCATGTAATTGTTGTATCTTTGAATTGGGTAAAGTGTTAATATGGAATTGTATTGTCAAAATGATTTTCCACAGTTATTAAGCTTGAAGAACCTCAAATCCTGAGCCCTTCGTTTTTAGTATTAGTATTAAATGAATGTAAAAAGTATCATAAGAAGACAAATCATCACTTGTTTTTAAAGATTGAATAATTTGTAAACTCAGAAAACAATGATATCAAACAAGAGGTTATTTCTATGCTACACACGGTTAAAGTCACCTCGAGTTAATTTTTACAGTTAATCAAACACACACTAATATGTGTTTTTGTGTTAATAAGGGTTGAGATTTCCCCAGTGTAGCATAATATAGACCTCATACAAGGCATTATTGGAAACCTGCTTTTAGTTAATTTTCTTTTATAACACGTTAAAAACCGTGATAAACAAAACACAATCAACCATAAGAATCGTGCTTAGAGTAATATTGCTTCAATCAAACGCAACTGAATAACCATGGTGGTCTGAGCAAGTTGCCTTTAAGGCACAGATCACCTAACTGTCGAAAAAGTTGATATCTTAAAACCATAAACAGAGAAAATAAGTAAAGTTTCGATATTGAAAAGGTTGCAACATTTAGCAGTTAGCACAAATAAAACATAACCAACATAATCTAATTTGTCTTGAGAGAAAGTCAACTTGGAAAACAAAATTTGAACATCTTAAAACTAACAAGCTTTTCAAGTTTGCACTACGAATTTCAAAACAACTTCAACTTCAAAGCCTGCTGCGATATCCATGCTTCATTAACGGTACTGCAAGATACAAAACAGAATACAATATCAGCATTTGCACATTTCATTTGCACATTTCAGATGACCAGATATAAAAGACATCAAATCGAAACATAAAAGCCGAATTAACTATCTCCACAAATATTAAGTTATACCAAAAACATGGTAAAACCCCAAATATTATACATACTACATCTCCCAAATCGAAACGTAAAAATCGAATTAACTAACTCCGCAAATTCTTAAGCTTCATTTACCCCAAATATTACATACTACATCTCCCATAAGAAACACGGGAAAACCCACAGTGACAATCAACAAACATCTATCCTAATGGGAAGGATTTGAGTAGGTACGACAATTTGTACAAATCATTTCAATTTGGATAAACGGAAACTGGATTAAAGGGAAGACGAGGATTTCAAATGACAATGTGAATTTCTAATAACCCCAAACTAGGAGGACTAAACAATTACACAAAATGAATATTACGAAATGCACAAAGCATAACAATCGAATATAATCAAACAAGTATTATTATGAATTTGATACCAAAGCCTCCAAATTATCAAATCAGGTCAACCTAAAACTAATTAAAAATATTCAAACTGAATCAAACCCTGAAAAACATTAAGTTATACAATAAATCAAACTTCAATATTCATACAATAAATCTTTTGGGGATTAATTTTTAAATATAAAAAAATAGAGTAAAAAACAAACCTTGATGAAGCCAATTTCCTTGGAGTTACTGCGGAAGCACTGCCTGCAACACATCAGACCGTATTTCCTGATCAACCCATGCGGGTTTCCACAGACCCGGCTGTGCCAAAGACGAAACAAATATATAAATACTCAGCTAATTTCTCCGACGAGAACAATCGGAAAAAAATTTCTTCAGTATAACAGAAATAAAAAAAAAAAAAAAAAAAAAAGACAGACCAAGTGCGTGATCCAGGGCCGTAGGTCTTGGGATGCGAGTTCCAGATATTCGCGTGACCCATTTTTCTTCTCCGCCGGTGAGAAACCCTAAGTCGGAATCAACTGAGGAAGAGGCGCCGATATGATGCGAAAACCCTAATTGCGTGGTGATGGAGGATGAGTTAACGTTTTTATAGGGCTAGATTAATTGATGCGATTTGTCCAATATGCCCTCAGCTCTTCAATTCAACTTGGCCCGTTTGACAGCTTTGTTTAATACCGGTCAATAATATGTTTTTATTTTTCCTCTAATAATAAATTATTATTATTATTACATATAAAATGGTGACCATAAATATTTTTAATATCTTTTTTATTTTATATTGTAGTAATTCGCAAGTGGCCCTTGGTTACGTCTAATTATCAAAATAGTTACGTCGAGTCGATTTCAATAATCAAAATGGTGAACATAAAACATATAAATTGATCAAGTTCGTGCACGCACAATAATCAATTCAACATTTTTTTTTTCCTTTCGAAAATCAAATTGATACTTATCATTTTATAATATTGTCGATTCAAAATTTTATATTCAGTCGCGGATTTTATTTTATTTGTTGTTTAAATTTTGCATTAATGTATTAATCAAACAAGAATATTATGCAATACGATAACTATTTCTCTCTGTCTATGTAATATATAAATTTTAACTCCATTATAACATAAATGGCTAAGAACATGACATTTGTCTCATTCTGAGATCGACATGTGCAATATCTATGTGTCGTCCGTTTCGTTATTTTTAAATTTCATAAAATCAATAGTATGATAAATGAATGATTCAAATTCCTTAATGTTGAATTATTGTATTTCCTTATATACAATGTCCAATTTTTTATTATATATTTAAATACTTTTGATCGATTGCCTATAATTTGTATCTATATTATTGCGATAAACTTTTTTTACAATCAATTTTTTTTCAAATATAAATTTATTCTCCTGCAACTCACAGATGAAGTACTAGTTTACCTATGAAATACAACACGTATATTACATAAGACGACGACTTATAATACTAAATCGCAATTACTATTGCCTAATATGCTGATGAAGTTGTCAAAGGTAATTTGCCTATGAAATCATTTTGAAGGCTCCCAAAGTACAAATAGCCCTCAAACTCTAGTGCAGACGTCACGAAAGACATCATCTTTCCCGTCGGGTCATCAAAACTCCGTACTACACTGCCATCACTAGCTATATTCACTACCACTGCTTTGTTCTGTAGCCCAATCATCCATTTTCCCAACCTCGGGAAAACCCGGATTACGTATTTTAATGCCCACGACACGTACATAAATCTCGGCCTCAACTGCATCAAATAATCGACAAATCATGTGTTCTTTTGTACATTAATGTGTGTTTAGGGGTGGATTTTGCTAATATTTATAAGGCGAGGGGTATGTTTACAATTAGAGTAAATACAGGGGTGCTAAATGCAATAAATAAAATTAGTATATACCTGTATCAAGGCAATCCAAAATGAGCCATCTGGAGCAAGATTTATGTTATCAGGAGCACCAGGGAGATTATCAATGAATATCTCTGTTTGCCCTTTTAAATCTCCTTCAACCCAATATTTCAAACATCTATATCTAATCACACATATATATATATAACAAACTTAGAATTAAATTTATTTATTTAATAAACATAAAGAATCAATAAAATTTAATTGATAACGTATATACACATATAGCTTACTTCCATGTTTCACAGACAACCAAGTAATCTTGATCCGCAGATAAGGCGACACCATTTGCGAATCCGAGGTTATGAAGAACAACAGACGCTACATTCGACGAAGGGTCGTATTTTACGAGCTGACCGTTAGGTTTCGTCTCGTGGGCATCGAGTTGCCAATTGTGGAAGCCGTGTTTCGTGCTCGCGACGCTAAAGTACAGTACACCGTCCGACGATTCCACCACATCGTCTGCAAAACTAGCCAAATCATTTAAAAGCATAATTAATAACAACCGATAAGATATTTCGATATAATTGAGATTTTCTTTTTTAATTTATCACCTTATTTGAACACCATTATTAAGATGTGATGCAAGAACAGTCACACCATCTTCATTAACCTTAAGCAAACCCTGTTCCAATGATATACAAGATTACATACCCAGCGTGTGTGTATATATATATATATTGGGAATATTACTGTTTTCATCCTTCAAGTTTACACTTATTCTGCATTTGGTCCCCCATGTTCACAAAAAACACATTTGGTCCCTCATGTTTCAATAATTTGACACTTTTGGTCTTTTTCGTCAATTTAGTGTTATTCCGTCAGTTAAGGGAGTGATGGGCACACGTTTGATTCCGTTAGTACTAACGAAAATTAACCAAAATGACTAAAAGTGTTGAATTTTTGAAACATGAGAAACATGAGGGACCAAAACTGTATTTTACCATATATATATATATATATATATATATATATATATATATATATATATATATATATATATATATATATATATATATGTATAATTATAATTAAACTAATTACCATGTCTGCATCGCAAACAATTAGATCACCAGCAGCTGTAACAGTTAGCCCTAATAAAGCATCACTGTTAATTTGGCGCCAATTTTCCAAGGTTCCATTTTTATGCAATCTTTTGATAAAACCATCTCTGGTTGCTGTATACAAAACCCCCAATTTATCAACGGCAACATCTTCCGGCTGCTTTAAAACCCCTTCCCCTAATTTAATCACTTCCTATTAGGGCAAAAAAAAAATTGAAAATTATCTATCACCTTCAGAAGGTGTAAACACACACACACACAGAGAGGAATTCAGATGAAGTGTTTATGTGCCACCTGTAATTTGCCGTTTGATGGAGCGGCCAAAACGGAGGAAGGCGGGGGAATATCGAGCGCGCCGGATGGCGATTCTAGAGAGAGAAAGATCAGTTGCAGAGCGATTGGCTTAATATATGGACAATTAATTCTGAGAAATTAATCTCCTTGCCTATTTTTTGTGGCTTAGAGTTGATATATATATATACTAGGTACGGAGCACCGCGCAAGGCGCGGTGTCCGGTAGTCATATTTGCACAAGTCGATCGGTTATTTCGACGGAGTTGGTGATGCGAATGCACCATGTGATACGGTGCAATCCCCAAAACTATGAAACAATTGGACGAAAATGAACCTTAATAACTTATCAGTTGGAATGTAACTACGAAAATGTATAGCAATTCTTGCAAATTATTTACAAATGCGTATTTGAATCCAACATAACTATTGTCGTTAAAAAATCTAATCCTACCAACATAGTCTATCTCTCAATGGTCGTATGATCTTAATATACAGTGCAAATGCGGCGCAGTAAGTACGATACGACAGTGTTTTAGAATAAAAAGGGGCAAAACCAAAAAAAGGGGAAAAGAAATGGGATGATGTGATAAGAATGAAAACTCAAGTATCTTGCATTAATCAGCCATGTGGCATTATTATATCTAAAACGAATCAATCATGTGGCATGATCCAAAATAAAGTCGAAACAGTACCAATAAAATTGAAATAAACCTTTACAAATTGTTCTCAAATTCACGAAGCAAGAGTCAAGATTTTATACTTTTACATAAAATTACCAAAATAGTTTCTATCGCACCCCTAAACCATACGAGAAAATAGTCCACAAGAAACTGAAATATTTTGCAACAAAATTTAATTAGAGTGAGGAAGAAAAACCTTAGCAGCGATGGCTCGTAAATACTTGGCTCGGTGGGCCCCAGTTGCGGATGACCAATCTTTGCCACCATTTCTGAAGAATGCTTTGCGAGCAGCTTCCACTGCAATATCAATATATTCAGCCGAAGCCGTTTATATCACCTGACATATTCATATATACCACATACCAGGAAGAAAAAAAAGGCATCAGTCATCACTCATCAGCCATAAACCCTACTCTTTACCTCTATTAATTGTAAAATAAAATAATATAAAAGTAATAATTCAATTTAATAAAAAAAAATATATTCAATCAGTGGCACTCCTGTTATTTCCCTATCAATTATTTATGATCTCGCATCTCAGATTAGATTTCCCCTAATTTATCAAACATTTTACCATTTCCACACTAGTGAACTGAGATTTTTGAGTTCCGCTTACTTCAACGAATAGATCCACCAAATCATAAAACCGTCCGACAAAAAAAAATCATACAAATACACGACAAATTAAGAACCAAAATCTAAACTACTATGATTAGAAATGCAACAGAGGAAGCACAAGTGAAGAGACGAACCGATGGATTCTTCGGCGGCGGGGTTGATGATCGGATTCGCAAATTCCGGACATAAGTCTCATTCAAAAATTGAACACCTAAACCATTTATCCAATTCGAAGACGGAAAAGTCTACTCACCAGCTTCACAGCAACTTCTTCTCCAGTTTGTATATTTACTCAATGAAATTTAAAATAGCACATATATAAATATTTATATATAGTTTGCCTATAAAGAAAAAATGAGAAAAAAAATTGCCGATGAGATTACCCAAATAAAGCTCTCCAAAAGATTCGCTACCAATCTTCCTCCCCAGCTTGAACCTGCCTCCAATAACATGATCCATAATTGATTTGCTACAGATTAATTAAAACCTAAAGGTATTGTGGCCATTTTTTTTTACTTTACAATTACAACAAAACGTATCAAAAATCAAAAAATATTCAATGAACAATCGAGGCCTCAAATTTCTGCACACGCCTTTTAAATCTACTTCAAATCATCACCTTATACTCTTCATCTCAAAAATCAGGTATCAGACCTGCATCATCTTCCCATGGATTCCACACAACTACAAAAATATACGTATATAATACACGTTTTATTAAATAATCCGTTGCATTTATATATAAATACGACACTATGAAGTATATATATATATAAAATAAAAAAGAAAAAAAACCTTACCAATTTCAGGAAGACTATCATCTTTGTAAATGGTAATAACTCTTCTAAGCTCAAGGTCTCTAATACGGATCTCATCAGGAGTGTTCAGGTATGCCCTGTCCAACTAAAACCGAAATTAAAAAGTGATTATCGATAATTAATTACACCAAACATAATTAAATAAACTTAGGTAATTAAAATACATCTTTATATTTATATATATGCATACTTCTTCTTCAAAAGTGAGTACACCAGCCTCTTCAGTGAATTGATCGTGATCCAGATAGTCCCGATAATCCAACCCCTGCAATCCTTCAATTCGAGTTGCACTGGAAAATGGATTATTAATTTAGTTAATTCACTGTTGCTACTATATATTTTTTTTAAAAACATTAATATAATATTGTCATTAGTATATATTAATTTACAGGATATTTGAGACGGAGAAGTAGGAGTGATAGGCAAATTTGAACGCGAAAGGCTCCCCATTAGTGTTGACATTTTTTACACGAGTTGTCATAGTCAGATCTCCGGTGGGTCCCAGGATAACACGTAAACGGAGCTCAAATCTGCAACATTAATTAAAACAGAGGAAATATATATATATAATTTCGATTATGATATTGTTGTATATATACCAAAATTATTAATTAAATATTAATTGTAAAGTACTTATGATTAGGCCAGTCTTGGAAGTCGTCGGGTTTATGATCGAGTAGAAAATCAACGTATGCATGATCGGGTGTCGGAGGGGGAAAAGCTGTATCACGTGTCAAAATCCATACTTCGGTTCTAGCAAATCCATGTTTCTCCAGGAATTTTTCGTCGAAAAACTGATCATGCATGATTAATTAATTATAGACCATGTTATTTTCTTCTACTTAATCAATATACACACGTATATGAAACCGAATAAACGCAATTAGGCAAATGGCGTCACAACGAATAAAAATAAGCAAATTAACCTTGGGAAGCAAATTGGGATGCCTCCACGAATCGGGTGAGGAGGTCTGTAAACGGCCTGGTAATTAAATAAAAATATGTTATTCGTTATCATTTTCGACAGTTGAAGAGACATGCAAATCAAGAATTAACCTTTGCAGAATCATGATTAAATCATGATTCAATCACTCTTAAATGTAGAACAATTCAAAAAAAGAATTAACTAATTCTCTTACTTAGATATATTATGCATGATTATATATATACAGTTAAGAACAGTAAAACAGAGCCCGATTTTAATTAGGCCGGTGATTAATTATCGGAATATACAACAAGATCGATCATCTCACACTAATTAATAACATAATGTACTAATCACAGAAAATTAAAATTAAACAAAATGGTAATGATCGAGAGAAAAAAATCCCCTAGAAGAAAATAAAATACCTCTTTCCAAAATCTGACCTACAACCAAAATATACAAAAAAAAATTTTACAAAAATCAACCGAGTCTGGGCTTGGAAATTTAGATGAAGAGATTCGGAAATGGGTCCATCCGTGTAAGAAAAACAGGTGGGAGGCAGAGAGAAAAGGGGGATTGAAGAGCGAGAAGAAACTGGGCTGAAGAACTTCTGAAAATAAAAGCAGAAATCGGGGCCCCACGAACGGCCGGACCGCGGTCGTAAACGGTTTGCTAGAACGAGAGCTCCGTCGGAACCTGAACCGTAGAATAACAGTGGGTGGAGAAATAGAGGGGGATGGCAGAGCGCGGTGAGCAATTGCGGCGGTAGAAGGAAAAGAGGAGAGAGGGGCAGAAATCGACATTAAAAGAAAAGGGAAAACAAATAGCAGGCAGCTTCGAAAAGAAAAGAATGCACGAAGCTGATTTAATCTTCGAGCAGGCTGCTTCAGATGAAAGGAAAAGCAAAAATAATCTGGGGGCGGAAGAAGGGGGCGATCGACATATATATATACTTAATATATATACACAAACTTCATTTATCTTTTTTCAGCTGTTTTTTTCATTAAAAGAACAGGCAGTCGCGGAGCCATAATTTTAAGCCCGTGGAGGCCGAATGCGTTGAAATTTTTTGAGGGGAGGCGGTTAATGATATTGTAGCCTTCATCTGCCCTATACTTGATCTAATAACTTTTCGTTAAAGAAAGCAAAAATTCAATAATCTAGAGTGTCTAATAACTAATCTTTGTTTTTTCAATTCCGAAAAGAAAAAAAAAAAGTTTAATGAAAAATCCACATAATACTTGGAAGAAAAAAACAAGAACCAAACAGACCCTAAAGAAATTAAGAAAAAAAAAATTCCATGTTTAAACCATGGAGGTGGGCTCTTCATATGGGTACCAAAATCTATTATAAAACCAAGTAGAATCAGCTGCAACGGGTTCGCTGTCTTGATTACGATGCCACGTGTAAAACGCGTGCGTCCTGTTCTTTATTTCAAGAATCGCATGCCCAAAGCTAGCTTCCCTAAATGCCGAGTAATTCGGCTGCGGCTCCGTAAAGCTGCATCACAAAAATCAAAACATGCGTAAACATCACATAAACACACACATGTGTGCGCGTGCATGTGTTTTTCGGGTGTAGATAAACGCGTACCTATTAGCGAGCCCTTCGATATTTCCACCATCGCCTATAGTTATGTATACCGGAGCGGAAGTGTCTTCGACCGGCGTGCTTAGCGCGTTTGTTATGTTGTAACGGACATTCGAAACTCGTTTCTGTGCACACCACCATACAAGACAATTAATTAATTAGAAACAATTTTTTTTTTCAAATGAACTTTTTGAAACCGATTAACTGACGTAAAATAAAATTATGCATATACCGAGCGCTCGTAAGAATGAACATGTCCGGAGAAAACGAGATCGACTTTGTGCTGGACGAACCATGGTTCGAACATAACGCGCATGCTTTCGCCTTCCATGTAGTGGTAGCTATTGGTGTTGTACCATGGTGAGTGAAGCAAAACTATCACCCACGGAGTTTCTGCCCGGTTAATTTTCGGGAGTTCTTGTTCTAGCCAATTGTATTGAGGAGTGTATTTACCTAATTAAAAAAAATGAACTCGATTCAATTATTAAAAAACTCCTCGTGTTAAAAAAATATTTCCAAAATTACATATGATGAAATTTTACTAGCAAAACTACCCCTGAAAACGCATTAATTAGGGGTTGTACTAAACAAAATTCATGAAGGCGGGCTTTCTTAGCAATTCAATGTAACACAGGGGTGTTGAACGCAATAAAGTCATTAGGATAATAATTAAAGAGGTAAGAAATGAGAATATTTGTCTTGGTTTATATTATTTACCGTAAGCTGAATAAGACGAGAGGACTATTATGTAAGTCGATGCGCGCTTGATCGAGTACCAAAGAGGAGATGTGCTTTGCGATGCCTTATATGGGACATGGTACCTATGCAAGTACGGCCTAAATGGAGTGTTTTCACCCTTCAAAAAACAAAACAAAATTAGTCGGACGAAATTTGGACATCTGAATTAAAATAATAATAATAAAAAAAAGAACCCCGAATTTTGATTTTCTTACAATCTCGGGTGCAAAGTCGATTTCGTGGTTGCCAGCTGTCCAAATCCAAGGCTGATAAGCCGTGCTCTTCTCTACGAACCGGCCCCACGTATCCCACTTTACGTTGTTATGGAAAGGATGATTGTCTGCATACGAAAGATCTCCCACGTATAGCATGGCTTGCCCTTTTGGATTCGACACGTAATGCTCGAACGTTTGATTCGAATCGTACGTTTGTCCCAAATCACCTACATTATTATATATATAATTTCAAGATTGCTATGTAAATAATAATAATAATAATAATAATGTGTGTTCACAAAATTCTTACCGATAACACCGAAGGTATACGGGACATCGGGTCCTACTTGAGGCGGAGTCGTGAACGAAAATCTACGCGTAGCGTTGTGCTTTCCGACTTCGTAAATGTACTTTGTATCAAACTGCATATAAATTTGAAAAAAAACAATTAACATCTTTTTCTTCTAATATTGTTGAAATAGTAATTAATATATTAAATTGATTGTCACACCTTAAGTTTTCTAAGAGTGGCATGGTGAATATAACCGGAAGTGTAGTTATAATATCGATACGACGTCGTAGTGGCGCGGGATTTGTGCTTGTGGCCGTGTCTGCAATTTGCTTCCCAATAGGTGACCACATTGGGGGTTGGGTGGACAGGTGTCACCCACGTGATAATCATGCCTCTTCCCACGTGATCTCCCTGTGTTATGTGAACCTGCAAATTTCTCACAAATTAATATCTTAATTATTTATTTTTTTAATTAAATAAAAAAAAATTACCTGCTCAGGGGCATTGAAGCCTGGTGGAGGAGTAAAATATTCAACTGGGATATCAATTGAAGCACGTGGTTTTCTGACATAGGTACTTGTGACACGTGCGTTACAGGTTTGAGAAAATTGCAGCAGACATAAACAAGTGATTATTATGAACAACGTTGGAGTAATTAAATTTAATTTCATGATTACTGAAGAGTAATTAATGAAGTTTTTTTTTTTTTTTTTTTAATAATAGATGTTGAAGACTATTTATAAGGGAGATTGTGAATAGAGACCTAGTACATATAGGATAGGATTTAGGAGTTTGTTATGATTGTGATTTGATTCCGTTGGATATTCTTTATCAAACTTCTGATAAAAGAAAATCAATTGAATGAGTTTAATTATTAGTTAAACAAAAGGATGGGATTTTATTTATTTATTTTAAATATCGATTAATTGTCATGGTATACAATATACATAATTGGTAGAACATTTCATATGGGTTGCCCGGCCGGCGGTGGCGCCGACCACCACACGCGACCTTTACCAGTAACCTCAATAGTCGAATTTCCGGCGATTTTGGTCGATCAATTGCCGGCGAGCTGTTTCCCGGCGACTCTTAAGAATTTTCCGGTGAGTTCCTCTCTGGTGGACTTAGAACCCCACCTTGGGCTGAACAAATAACTTTGTGGGCTCTCCTAATGGGCCAATCTAAAAATATTGGGCTAAAGTAATAATTTTGTCTCTTATTGGGCCCATCTATAATTATAGAATTTAAAAAACGATTGGGCTGAACTAATGATCTTATTTCCCAATTCATAATAATAATATGAGCATTTTTTTTTTCAAACGACGGAACCTGCAGCCCAACTATATAGGGGCAATGGGTAAATCATACGAACGACGTAAAATACTAGGCTAGACACGTGTGGTAAACTTCAATTAGCTCTATTGCTATGGTCAAAATTCAACTATAGTCAATTGTCACAAACTCTCTTGCTCCAACCACGGGGACATCCCTTAAGGGATATGCCCGTATGTTTGCATAAGGCGGCATTATGAGTTTTATGATTCAGGATGCAATATCATTACCGTACCAACAATTTGCAGAATATTACCAATATTATACCGAATGAAATGGCAACAGTATATTTTCGACAAATTTTTATTGGTATGCTGTGGTACTCGACAATTGGTAATTTTTTTCCACCATGTGTGACAGTATGTTTGCATAAGGCGTTATGGGGTGTATGATTCGCACTGACTCCACTGACATAGGATTGCCTTATCCACATCATCATTTCTAGCAAATGCCATAATTAAAATTTGGAAAAAAGTAAATTATATATACATTTAAATCTCTATAAATTAGTACCGTGTGGACTAACAAATTTCATTAATATTAAGTTCTCGAACTAATAGTTTAATATGCTTTTACCGAACTGAAATCAGAAGAAATTATTAATTAAACGATGTTATTAATTCATCGAGTATTAATTATCGATGGTATATATTTATATATTATTTTATAACTTTGTAGGAACCCGGTTCGACGGTCCAAAAACACAAAAGGTGAAATTCTTGGATATATCCAAAAACTCAACACTCGAACAGTAGCGTACGCAATCTTTTTTTCATTCTTCATCCTTCCTTTTTTCATTCTTCAATCTTCCCCCAATTTCTCTCTCTAAAATTCAAAATACGATGATGATGATGCATATGACTCTTTACTGGGGCAACCAGGTAACTCTTCTCTTCGACTCGTGTACCACCGATTCGTGGCCGAGTTATGCCCTAGCCTTGCTCATCTGCCTCCTCTTCGCCGTGTTTTACCAATTCCTCGAATCCCTGCGCCTCCACCTCAAATCGCCGGTCAATCCATCTCCGCCGTCGCTCGTGGCTCCATTAATTTCCCGGAAAATTGGCCGGAATTGGAGGGTGAGGCTCGGATCGGCGGCGTTGTTCGGGGTGAACTCGGCGATTGGGTACCTAATATGCTGGCTATCATGTCGTACAACGGAGGGGTGTTGCTGGCCGTGGTGATTGGGTTGATTGTCGGGCATTATGTGTTTAGGAGCGGGGAATTCGCCGCCGGCGACGGTGGCCATGATTATTCAGTCGGTGCTGAAACAAATGTATGTGGTTGCTCTTAATTCTCCTAAACGGCGGCTTTTGCTTTCCGTCTTTTTTTTCTTTCTCACGTTATGAAATGAACTAGTTTAATTTGGCACCCTTGTAATATAGTTTTTTTGCACTTTGAACCATCAGAAAAATTAATAGTATTTTACACCCTCAAAATACAATAAATCGAGCTCATTGCATCCAAGATGGCTTTCTCTTTGCCAGTTATTTTAGGTGCCATTCAAATATTAATAAGCAAGGGTAAATTACAAAAATTCTCTTGAACTTAGACTAAATAACAAAAAATGTTCCCATTTGTTTTTGTCTTACATCAATTTTTTTTCGATTTTTTTATTTTTTTTATTTCGGGGAATGGATTTACACCATTTCAGATTTTTATTTTATTTCTCACATATTTAACGTAAGGTACAATGGACAATACACATTTTCCGATAAAAAATTCGATCAACAGTTAATCAGATGTGGATTTTAGTTATTACCCATAAGCATGGGTCTTTTTTGTTATTTAGCTTAAGTTCAGGAATTTTTTTAATTTACCCAATAAATAAATATAAATAAAAGATTTAGAAGAACAAAGTTGCGTGGCAAACAAACTCAAGTTAAATCAGATCTCAAGTATATCTAAAACATGCCCCAAACAAGATTACATCCCAAGTTTCAAACCCATAAACATAAATTAAATAATAAAAAAATAAAAATAAAAATTAAAAAATTGGCAATAATTAATTACTAAATAATTCAGCATCTAGTGGATCCATCATATATGTAATCAAGAACAGCAATAACACCAAAAACAAAAGCTTGATCCATTCCCGCCTTTATTTCAACATGGTACAAATCCCTACTTGCCATCACTTGCTGCACCTCCTCCTTAACTCCAATCTGCAATTTAAGACAAACAAAATCAAGAATTCAAGAATGTGATATAATAACTAATTTTCACCATTTTGTTTGATGGTTTTAATGATGTAATAATATTAGTTAATTAATTTATTTATTACCGTTGCTACTACATCTCCTCTGGAGCTGACAATGCTGCAGGATCTCCCGGGAAAATCGCCACGCACCTCAAAGCTCCCGTAACTCGAGCACTCCTTCGATTCGATCGAGATTCTAATCGGACTCTTGTTCGAAAAACACGAGTTGTACGGATCTTTTAAGGTGAAAACAAGTTTGTGCGATCCTAGGAAATCGTAGGTGACCCCTGTCCATTGCCTTGCCAGGCTCAGTACTTCAACTATCGCTCCCTGTACGCAACGAAAAAAAAAAAAAAAAAGTGTCACAATTTTAAGAGTTTATTGCATTTAGTACCCCCTGCATTATATCGAAATTGCATTTAGTACCCCTGCATTTTACCTTCCGCCTGATGAGGAGTAAAGAATTTCCTTCTCCATCCCTGAGAATCAGCTCTTCTTTCCTGCCGATAACTCCACATCCATCGACGGTGAAAACGACCCTTTGTTTGGAATCTGCCACCGCGAAACCACCGCCGTTGGCCACGTTCGGCCGCCTCCTGACGGCGAGAACCACCTCAGAAGGTGAACAGTATACTTTGCTTATGATTGGCATCATATTTGTTGTACCTGGTTTTGCAGCCATCTTTTTTTTTGTCTGTTTCTTAATAATTTGATAGATTTCTCTGGTTTGCATAAAACTAGTCAAATATATATATAGAGAGAGGAAATTAAATAATTTGAAGAATGGAATTTAGGTCTATGTATTTATGTCAAAAGGTTTGGCAATGATTTATTTGACTATTTATATGATGAATCTTGCACGTTCAATGTAAATGTACAATGAGAAAACCAATGCGCACGTGTATATATTTGGTGCAAAACGTTATCATAATCAGTATATTTCATGTACACGATCAAGGTTACACTAGGTGTTTGTTTATTGTTGAATTACACACACCAATGTGGGTGTTTGTGTTTGTATTTGTGCGTATACGAATGGTAAAGATGCAACTGGTGTACTTCACACTTGATATAACATAGTATAAACAGTGAATGAAGATTGTCGTGCATTTATTCAGAGTCCGTGTATATATATATATTATATACAAATTGTCACCACATTTAGATTTATTTAAAACCGGAACGAGAGAAAATGTCATTCTCCTAGAATTAGTCCGACGAAATTCGAATACTTTCATCATGAAAGTAAATATATTATTTTTGTCCCAATTAATATGTAAAATCTCATATTTGGTCAAAATAGAATAATTTGAATATTGAAATAATTGAGTATTATTAAAAAAAAAAAAAAAAAAAGCCTTTTAAAGCAAATTTCTAGAGGGGTCCGTTTGCTTTTCAATATTTGGCTGCCAAATTAAATTGCTTTACGGGGAATATAATATATTCAACGAAAATATATATAGTCTTCCATTGCTACAAGCATAAAAGTTCCTAAAATACCCTTTTAAGTATTGGTGGTAGCTTTGTTGAACTTGATCGGACAAAAGACCAAAACTCTACAAATACATGTACACGTAGACCCGGATGAATGTCACGTCAAGCCACAATTAAGGAAAAATTAGATGATTTCTTTAATTAATCAAATTTATTAACTTTTCGACTAAGCAATTATTCGACTAATTATCTATACACGTGTACGATAAGATTTTCGTCGATAAAATTAACCATTTTAATTTTTACAAACTCGTGCATTTCCTGATTTATACGGTCATACGTGTGATGAGAAAGCCTGCAAAAAAAATAAAAAAAAAAAATCAATAAATCAAGGAAAAATTACGAAAACCCCACTCTTGTTTGGGTAATTATAATCATCCCCTCAATTATGTATTATCTTACGAAAATACCCCTCCAGAGGTAAATTTAGGTATGTTAAATCCGTAAAACCGAACCAAAATTTCGGCACGCTAACATTTCATACCGTTTACTGTCGTGAATATACAATTTGGTTCGGTAAACAACTGAACTACATAAACTTTATGTAAAAATATTTAACAGGAGGGGGTGGTTGTAATTACCCAAGCAAGAGGGTTTTTCCGTAATTTGGCAATACCTCAGAAGTGGCCGTAATTTGCCCATAAATCAATAACTAATATTTAATCTGAATTTCATGCAATTGTGACACGTACCGAAAAAACGTTGCAGTGACCCGGATCAGCAATATGGGCCGCCAAATTCTGAAGTGGGCCCTGCCCAGTGTAAACAGCCTGAAAACAAAAGCCCACAAAAGCAAGCATAGCAAGCCTCCCATTCTTGATCTCCTTAGTCCTCAAAACCATAACGGGTTCGGGCGACCCTCTACCCCACATCCACGGGTCGAACCACAGCCCGCCCGGGTAACCCACGTCGGGTTTCGGCTTCGTTTTGTGTGGCAAAGTGGGCTCGATGTCAACCGAACCAGGGTTGACAATATCGGCCCATCTCCGCCCTTCGACCCAACCCATGAGTGCTAATTGGGCCACGAGTAGGGTTACCGGGTCCGCAAAGTACTCTCTTGAACCGGCATCGAACCACGAGTAGTTGTCTATGAATCCGAGGCTTCCGAGCCATTCGGGTACGAGGATTCCGGAAACCGCGAGCATTGCCCATCGAGAGTGCATTAGTTCGGCTTGTGCGAACCATTTCAGTAGTTCCGGGTCGGATCCTATTATGTGTAGAATTAGTTATGACTTGTGAATCATAGAATATTTAAATTTATTTTCATTAGCTTATTACATGAATTTCTTACCTAGTCCGAGTGGATCAAAGCCAAAATCTCCGGGAAGACTGCAAAAAACATGAAAAATAAAAAAAATTGGATTCAATATTCTAATCACTTGTTTGGTTGCCGCAATATGATTAGAAATTAAAGATGAGTTTTTTATATACGTAAAGATTGCATTAAAATTAATTCATTCAATTAAAGTAAACACATGAGTCATGAATGAAATTAATTCATTTTAAGATATATTTGTAATCTTATTATTGCTAATTATTTAATTAATAAATCCTAAGCTACGTTAAATGTTAGTTAAAAAAATGTGATAAGTTTTGATAAACATGACCACAGAAATAAACTAAAAAAGTGAGTTATTAAAAAAAAAAAAGAAGGAAAAAAGGGCGTATGATAGCAAAGCACCTGCCATCAAGCCATTGAGGAGGTGAACTACCGGGGAACCAGATGGGCCTGTCGGGAGGGAGTGGCTGGCACACGCTGGAAGGGCCTTTCCCGGCACTTAAACGACCCCGTTTTGACAAACATATTCCGGTGAATGATTTTCCGGCAGCCTGTGGGAAAGAGTGTAACCTGGTCGGAAAGCTTGAAAATGGTGACGCAGCGATGGCTGAAGCCGCCATGGTTGGATTGAATGTGAGGAGGGGTAAATGTGTGAATATTTATTTATTTTGCAATTGAAAGGCTTATCCATAGTTGGGAGTGGATGGTTCATAAAATCTCTTTCAATTAAATTGGATTTTTTTCTTTGGATTATTAATTCTACATTTTGGTGAATAAGTCCAATTTAATTCAAGTATGGGCACAACTAATTTCAATTAGACATTACACATATTCACTAACCATCTTGTGCTTGAAAAAAGTTTTCCATCTTCTAAATGGTGTAATATACAGTAAACAAAATGCGACGTGTAACGATTCAAGTTGAAATCGATTTTCTTTTTATTGGTAAGCGATTCTCGAAACTTATTATTTCACTTTTAGTTTGTATAACCGGTTAGGTTAGATTGATAGTGTATAGGCTGAGGTATATCGACCCTTAGTTGGTATGTATATTCACTATTTTATCACAATTCAGGTTATGGATCGTTTAGTCGATAATGATGTGTTGACCATGAGCATATTTCGACCGGGCTAAAAAATCGAGCTTGAAATCGAATAGATCAAATGAAAGTAAGTATTACGTTCCAAAAAATCAGAAATTTAAATGAAAAAAAAAATCGTTCAAAAATCGGAAGTCAAACAATCCAATTTTGTAGTCACCTAACATATAACATTACTTGTATAAATGTAATTTCTGGAAAAATTAGAATAATTTTCGGAAATTAAAATCGGGTTTAAAGTCAAAATCTCATATATGTTTCAATTCTCATAAGAAAATTCGGATAAAATCGGGATCCAACTGAAAAATATTGTTACAAAATCGAATTTATTTAATCAGAATTTCCATTCCAATTTCCAAAAAATAAAAAATATAATAAAAATTAAATGCCAAAAGCCTCACCTTGAAAAATCCTATTGAAAAAATGGAGTTTGAATCTCTCACACACACACACACACACACACACACACACACACTTCCCTTGCAATATACTTCACCATCTCCATCGTCTCTCCAAGAACACCAATCCCACAGATCACTACCTGCCACCCACCACCCACCACTCCATTTCCGAACAAATCAAAAACCCCCAATTTTTATTTTTTTTGATTTCATAATTTCAAATCGTTCATATGCTGCCACCCAAAATCTCTCAAAACCCCAGCACCGGACACAACTGCAACGACTCCGATTAGATGGTTGAGCCGCCGTCGACGCCCTCGTCGAGCCCACCGTGCTGTTGGCGGAGATCGTGGTGGGCCTCTCTGTACCCTACAAACAACCACCATCCCCACCGCCGCTGGATCCCCTCCGCCACCACTTTCTTCTCCACCAATAACACCGTCCTGACCGCCCTCTTCCTGGCCTTCTTCTTCACCGTCTTTTACTGGCAGAAGGAAGCCACCGCCGGCGGACTAGCGATTTTCCGTCGCCCATTTCCCTCGCGGCAGGTCCCGAAGCTACGGCACGCGGCGTTTAACTTGACCGATTTTGGAGGGGTGGGCGATGGCATCACTCTCAACACGGCGGCGTTCGAGCGGGCGGTGGTGGCTATTTCCAAACTCCGGAATAAGGGTGGCGGTCAGCTCAACGTGCCGCCCGGCAATTGGCTGACGGCGCCGTTCAATCTCACTAGCCATATGACTCTCTTCCTCGCTGAGGGTGCTGTTATTCTCGGCATTGATGTGAGTGCTTCTAATTTTGGAAATTTGCAATTCCCTTTTTCTGGCTAAACATTTGAAATTTGCTTACATTGGTTCTAGGGAACGTAATCGAGCATCGGCACTGCGTTGATTATAAAGAAAAATTAACAATGTAAAGTTGCCCTGTAAATGTTTAAAAGCTTAGATCACATAGTTTGAGCTTTAGTAGTACAGACATAATACATATTTTTCATCAATTAGACGAGGACTCGTGTATCCACTATAGAGGAATCATAATCTTGCCTGCGTATATCTCGTTATGCTGATAAGTATCTTCTGTATTCGGCTCTATTCTTTGCGCTTATGGTATAGATTAGTCAACAACAAATAGACGAGAAAGTGGGTGCAATGCTCGTGTATTTATCTTGCCTGTGTATATCTCGTTATGCTGATACGTATCTTTTGTATTTGTCTCTATTCTTTGAGCTTATGGTATAGATTAGTCGACAACAGATAGACGAGAAAGTGGGGGCAATGCTCGTGTATTTATTAGTGAGATTTTTGTTACGATAGTTAAAACCTTAACCAAATGGTATTACGAAAGCACATATCGTCACCAAATTGGTAGGTTTTGAGACGACTATTACCATCCTCTATTCGACATTGTTTTCAATTTTCGATTCCACTATTCTTCGTCTAACATTTCTTAACAACTGGATGAACCCATGTATGTGTTAATATCTTCATAGTTGATACTGTTTCGATTTCGTGTGTAGGATGAAAAATATTGGACTCTCATGCCTCCATTGCCCTCTTACGGGTACGGGAGAGAGCATCCCGGACCACGATACGGAAGTTTAATCCACGGCCAACATCTTAAAGATGTTGTTATTACAGGTTACCATTTAGTCATATGTTTTTTCCACGTTTCTTTCTTGTCGATGAATAAAATAGTAAGACTATGACGTGTCTGATATTCATTTGACTTGTAGTTTACACGATCTTATATGAATACTTATAGCGTATATGCCGATCCTATTGAACAGGTCATAACGGCACCATTGACGGTCAAGGTCAAACTTGGTGGACGAAGTATCGACAGAAGCTTCTTAACCACACAAGAGGACCGCTTGTGCAGATTATGTGGTCCAGAGACATTGTGATATCTAACATAACATTGCGTAATTCTCCTTTCTGGACCCTTCATCCGTATGACTGCAAGAATGTCACCATAAAGAATCTTACTATACTTGCACCCGTCTTTCAAGCACCAAACACCGACGGCATCGATCCCGGTAAAGTTTCTTCCTTTTGCAATTGTCAATTTCGGACATTGTTTGCTAATGCCCGATAATCCGATTCTTTTGCAAGCATCTGAACGGAGTTAATTGAATTGAAAAATAAATGAAATAAATAAACAGATTCGTGTGAAGATATGGTGATTGAGGACTGCTATATAAGCGTGGGAGACGATGGTGTGGCAATAAAGAGTGGTTGGGATCAATACGGTATTACTTATGGACGACCTTCGAGGAATATTCTCATCAGAAACCTTGTTGTTCGCTCCAATGTCAGGTTAGATATTGCTTTCCTTTATAACTCCGTGTTTCGATTTATACCTCAATTCAGCTTTTAAGCGCATTCAAGGCGATTTGGCCGTAATAAACTGCAATTTAAAATTTATTTTGCAAACGCATCAACTTATAAGAAATCAACTGTTTAAAGTTGATTTTATGACATTTGTAAACATCCCCTTAGATGAGTATCTATAGTATTACCCATCAAGAAAACATGGCCCGAACTTTCTTGATTGTATGATTAGTATATTCCTCCATTTATTTTTGTTTTATATAGTTAAAAAAAAAACCTAAATGCAAGTTTCTTGCATCCAACAGTGCGGGAATATCAATAGGCAGTGAGATGTCGGGCGGGGTATCAAACATAACGGTAGAGAACGTCCACATATGGAACTCCAGGCGTGCAGTCCGAATCAAGACAGCCCCCGGTAGAGGAGGGTACGTTCGTGACATCACGTACCGAAATCTCACGTTCGAAAACTGTCGTGTCGGAATAGTCATTAAAACGGATTACAATGAGCACCCGGACGGGGGTTTCGACCCCAACGCCTTTCCTATACTAAAGGACATAAGCTACACATCGATACACGGAGAAGGAGTTAGGGTTCCTGTGCGTATTCAGGGGAGTTCGGAGATTCCGGTGATGAACGTCACTTTCCGGGATATGTCGGTCGGAGTGACGAACAGGAAGAAGCATATATTCCAGTGTGCTTATGTGCAGGGTAGCGTGATGGGGACTGTTTATCCTGCTCCTTGTGAGAATCTTGATCTGTACGACGAGTTGGGGAATTTGGTGAGGAGATCTACTTCGCAGAATAGCTCGGATATTGATTATGATTTTTGAAAATTTATTTGGCGGCCGATGTTTTTTTTTCGCGGGGGTCGTTTTTTCTGGTATGTTCTTGATAAGCCATAACAGTTCTAAAGAACAGGGCTGTTAATTTGTGATATTTTTTCTGTAAACCTTTTTTTTTTCCTCACTGTGATATTTTTTTTCTTCTCTATGTATGTATATATATATATATACACGAATGTTATGCTGACACGTTTGCAGAATTAAAGTGTAATATATGTAGACAGGCTTTTTTACCTTCGATTTTAGTAGACGATTTGTACCCAAAGTAGGAAACATTCAACAAATGGACTCAAACAAGATATTAGAAAGTGGAGCACTAATTTAAGTATATTATTTCCATACTCAACCACCACAATTTTGTCACGTTTTATTCTTGGGATAATTAGCAATACCCCCCTCATCTAGGTAAATGAGTTAAGAAAAACCCCCCTCCCAAAAATAATTAGAGAAAACCCCCTTACCTAATATTCTACCCAAATATTATTTAATAATTCCCAAACCACCCTCTCACTCTTATCTCTTCTCTCTCTTTCTCTCTCTCTCCTCTTTCTCTCGCACACATAAAAACACACACACACACACAAATTAGCGAGAAATCTCAACAGGAGAAAGCTCGCTCTTCGTCCGCTTCTTCCCTCCGAAGAACGGCTGGTTCAGGACGACTCCGGCGACTCTCATCGGCGGCGGCTTCATCTCCATCATCCGGAGCGCGGTGTTGAACACGATGTTGGCGCCGCAGCTCACGCCGTACAGGTAGCACCGATCTAGGTCGCCGTGGTCGCGGATCCACTTGTCGCCGCGGTCGGCGGCCTGGCTCTTCACCCACAGGACGGCGTCCATCGCGTCGTCGTACTGCGATGGGAGGCGGCTCTTCGGCGCGATCCGGAACTCGACGGAGACGACGATGGCGGAGACGTCGACGGAGAGGCGGTTGCAGGTCTCGTGGTTCAAGGCGTCGGAGATGGTCATCTGGATCCAGCCGCCGGCGTGGAAGAAGAGTAATCCGACGTCGTTTTATATTACGATTTTTATGAGGCTTTAATTAGTTATAGTGGGCTGTGTCAACTTAAATCTTTAACCATATATATGGAACTTAAACCTAAATCGACTATGTACATGTTCATAGTCGATTAAGCTAATCGACTATGTTCTGGTATTCGATTAGGGTTGATCGACTCCAGTTTTTTTTATTTTTTTTTGGATTTCTTGTTTATTGTTTCAATTGTATAAATCATTTATAACGTTTGTATATATTTTTTTCTTTCTAAAATATAGTTGATTTTGCATTTTTTCGCAGTTGTAATTTGTTATGTTTAGTAGCAGATTCTTAATCGACTATGCTTCATCATAGTCGATTAATACACCTGATATAGAAAAAAAAATTAAAAAAACAAAAAAAAATTAAATAATTAAATAATTTCCTTAATCGACTATGAAGCATAGTCGATTAAGGCTTAATCGACTATGCTTCATAGTCGATTAAGAAAAAAAAACGGAAAAAAAAAAAAAAAAAAAAAAAAATTGCTGAGCGTGACCCAGTGATGATGTGGCGGATGGGGACAAAGCTGGAAAGCATAATGGCTGAAAATGGGTGTGGACTTTTCTCAAATGGACTAAAATATTTTGGGCCTCCCTCAATTAAAAATAATAATGAGGGGGTTTTCTCAAAGAGCCCCTTTATTCTTCCCCATAATATTCAAAGAAAATCGAACATTAAATAATAAATTATGAAGTATATTATTTATAATTATCTTCGATGGGCTTTCTACTTATTGGGTTTCAATTGAGATTTCTTTTTGTAATAGTGTAATTCATTTTATAATTTGTAGTCAAGCCTCGTGGCCCAATAATTATATGTACATAAAGAGGAATGTCGGTATGTCTAAATATTAGCAAATATCTCAAAGACGTATCAATCCAATTTTATACAAGATGTTTTTTTAAGATTTATTACTCTATTATTTTAAATACCAAATACACCCTTGCAACTTATGTCGTTTGCAATAATCCCAATTGTTGCAATCTTATCCACATACCAAATCAAGATTTTGAACACACATATATATATATATATATATATATATATATATATATATATATATATATATATATATATATATATATATATATATATATATATATCATTATCATTAGCTTAAGTAGTTCTTTTATAACAGTAGTGATAAATATTTATTTAGTAGGAGTAATGTATACACCCGATGAAAATACATCGAATGATCTTGAATCGTTGATTTACACATACAACATACATTGATGATACTAGATTATATCCGCTTAGAGAGTTGAAGATAGATGGGCTGAAAGAGCAAAGTGGATCACTAACTTACGAACTTGATGACCTTGAGATACCTGCGATCATAGAACACGTAAGCTAAGTCGGGAGTTGATTCGGCGAAAACCCTTCCGATGCTCAAGTCAGACATGTGAATAGCAGATACAGTCCAAAAAATACATGGTATGTATTTTAGTAATAACTTAGTAGGACGCACCTTAAAAAATAAGTTAAAACTTTTATTTATATTTTAGTTGAGACCCAAATGTTATTTGAATGTGATTGATTGAACTTAAGTGATAGTGATCTTTAATATTGGATCGTAACCGAGTAAATAAAGAAATTGTAGACCTAGTAGACATATATCCTTTATTAATAATTACAAAATCAACAGTCGACACACACGAGATGAGATGTAACATCTCAGTAGACATAGACCGACGTCAATTAAATTGAAAACAGTTGTTCTAACATTTGAAATTTCGAACTTTAAATTTAGGTGAGAGGAAAAGTGGGGCAAACTCGCATAAATCCGCGTGAAGATAGATAGAATACTTACCCAAATTCCAAAAGCAACACGTAATATTAAATATATTAATAATAATATTTTCGAATAATTACAAACAGCACGTGTTTCAAATGGAGAAACCAATCTCAAAGAAAAATCTTCTACTTAATGAAACAAAAGTAGCCCTAGTTTTCTATTCCTCATATATTCCTCGTGCTTTTTATTCTCTCTCTCTCTCTTCCCTCTCTTTCTCTCTCTAAACTTATCAATAATATAATATAATTATTATATAAAAACCAGCCCACATTTCATTTCATTTCATTTCTAACTCATCTCATCTACCCGTTGATTCTTTGCTTCTTATTTTTGTTGCCGGAGAGAAATGGGTTCATCTGAA